CAATAACGTTTTAATACGTTATTAAGCTTTTTGTGCGCCGTATTGCTTCCGTATATGGCTATTTCATCATGGATCGTGTCCCTGTCTTATGCTACTCCGAAGCATATCTCGGCGTCTTACTCATTCAATCGTCTATTTGCAATGTCCTAGTGCATAATCTGGTCCCGAAGATCTGTTCTTACTGTGTTTAATATCAATATTCCTTGGGGAAGGGTCGAGCTCCCGGGGTCCGGAGCCCCCAACCATTGTCCCCGGTCATGGTCTAGGGACTGGATATATCGGTAACTTGGCGCGGGCGAGTTTTTATGGCAAGTGCCAAGTATGGGGTAAGGTGACGTGAGAGCTCGCTTATCGATGTTTCATCATCGCTGGTTCTCGATTCGATATCTCGGGTGTCTTGTAGTCTTACTCCTCATACACCATACTTAGAATTTGTCAATTATAACTCCAGTCCCCCCGGGACCTGCATCATTACTTGCTGTAACCAATTTTCACTTATTCCCCGAGATAGTATGGTCCTCGATCGTTGTGTAGATTGTCCTGACTCCGACACGTGCCGGTAATGATATGGGGTAAAGTGAGATAGAGGAGCGGGTGGAGGTTGAAAGCTTGACGTTATAGCTTCGGGGCGTCACTGGGATTCTGATCATGTTGGAGACATTCTTGGCAACGTCTTGGGGATGTGTGGAGGTATAGTTTGCACAAGTTTACGTTGAAGAAGTTGAAAGATCGATTTCTTCTGTTGTGTCCGGATAGCGATAGCGGTCCCCCCCCCCTCCCCCCGGGATATCACTCACGTTACTGTTCGGAGTTGGCAGTGCCGTGGTAAAATCATCTACTTTAGCTTTTGTTCGCATCTAAAGGTTTATTGCATGTTTCAATCTCAATGAATAGGATACCATTGGTTGGTCAGCCATCGCCCTTATCATAGGTACAAGCATTGAAATCGATACGCCGTCGTTGGTTCTGAGCCCTCATCCCAAGATCAGAAACCAATCGTGAATTTGCATATGTAGGGTATCGGAGCCGCCGCCCAAAAGCCATAAATGAATAGTGATTCTGTTTCAAGTTTTTTGGTGTCGGGGTCACTTCAGCAGCCCTATTGGACCCTACCATTTCGTAGAATCTTCTTCGATCTGCCTTATCTTCTTCAGAGGCGAAATCAAAAGACGGGAGTAAGGATCCATGGGAATGGTTCTGTGGTCAAGTGATCGGTGGAGGCACAGCAGCAATATATTATGCATTCGCGTTCCTGCGTGGCTTCAGGCCCTAATAGGCCGGTTCTATGGTGTTCATATAACATGGCATTCGCGTGGTCTTTAGTGAGTATAGTATGTGTATATGCATTAGTAATGGGTGTGCTCTTGAGTACTCTTTTGTGATGATATACCATGGACGTAGATCATGCCCTAGAGATCTGTTGTGATAAGCCTTTCCTTGCTAGAGTTCTTGCAGCATTCTGCATAGTGTCAATGTGGATTCCGGGCTTGCGTCTTCAATGTCTATACGCACTATACCGGATCTATTCAAACTCGATCGCTTTCGGGCCCGAAACGTATGATCGATGTTTACCAGCAGTTCAAATAGCTACTAGTGGCTTGAACTGCAGGTTCTAGTTCTCCAACAACCGTTACTTTCTGTGTATAAAAAGACAACGATCACACAGTAGTGTGATCTGTGGTGAAATGAGATTGCGAAACGCCGCCAAGTTTCGGTTGTGATCTTCCGCAGCCGTCTGATTCCACTTCTCAGCACTAGCTGTAATCTCCAGGCCTGACGCCACCCAAAGTTTCACAGCTCATTAGAGTTCTGACTGTCATGTGATTTGTTCCGACCGATTGCTCTCGTAGTCTCTGATTTTGCAAAGCTGCATGACTTCCGGCTGTGTTTAATGCTAGAAGCTGACCGGTGATGAACTATTAATATTTTTCAGTTTCTGCCGACACTTCGTATGCTTTGATACGTGGAGTTACGACCAACCGTGCTGATGCTGAAGAACTTCACCTCGTATTGTCCCGTATATCATCAAGCTTACGGTTGCACCAGGTTGGTCCGGAAACTCGGGGTGACTGTACGGTGTGTACGTATCGGTATTCACACAGAGAGTCTTAAAGATGTGTTATTACGAAGTTACTTTGAGGGATTTCAACTTCCGGTACGAGTGTACTTGAATTTTAACGGTGTTCTGTGATAGTGGGGGTTTCGGCTTGGTGTATCATTATCGGAAGAATTTACGATGCGATACATAAAAGGAAAGTGACAGGCGTCATGTAGAGCTGACATACCGGGTAGGCAGCTTTCAAAACTATCGACATAAACCGGCCTATGAGAAAATTTCGGTTATATGGCGAGTTAGCAGGGGAGTTGGGATGAAACATAACTTCTCCAGCTATTTGAGATGGGGGATACATATAATTTATGGTTTGATTTGGGCGCCACTTAAACTGTAGGGTAAAAATGAGGTTGCTTTGTGGACGATTAGCGCTTGGAAGGCCAGTGCAATACCCGGCGGAAAAGGCGACACAGCATTGTTCAAGCAGGAGATTCGGTTGTAAATACGAAAATAGTGTATGAAAAACGGCCTATATCTTGACAATGAACAAATAAGACCGCAAGCACAGTTCCATTTATCACCACAGAAGCTCAAGGTCTCATTTAACCAGATAGGTTAAATTGTCCAAAGATACTTGTGCTTCAAACAAAAATCGCACCTTCCATTTTCGCAAGGGCTTTCCATGCTATCAAAAGATTAAAAGAACGACAGTGACTGGGAGCAGCATCTGGAGCAGGGGCCGATGGCGTTCAATATTTCTCGGCCTTCCAAGATTTCATTATTCCAAGACCGCAGGTCCACGCCACTGGAGGCTACTACTATTTACAGTATAAAATTATGAAGCCAATTTTAAAGGTGTACGTCAATATCAATCACTGGCTACTGTCTACGAATAGCTAATGAAATACGGACTACAAAACTCGCAGCCTCGTTCTTATACGTAGGTTGAATGTGCTAATGAGTGTACAGCTGATCTCTCCAGTATCTGGAAAGGTTCTATTTGGAATTTCATGGATAGAGGAGTGGAGATTTGAACCTACTTGCTTAATGTCCAGGGTTAAATAAACTTTGACTGTGGGGGCTCACCATGAGATGAGCTGAATTGAGTGGGGATCAATGTTGGGGTGTAGTCTGGAACACGGTTTGAACTACTCAGGTTCCTCGAAATACAACTTACGGATGATCTTGACAGGTTAACCTCAGCAGTCTTTGAGTCATCCCAGAGATCTCTCCCCAAACTCCTCACCTTAGAAGTACTCCTTCGGAACGCCCTGCGCCTCGTATAGTTTTCCTTCGATCCTTCATCGTTATCTATGGGAAGCAAAACCTTCTACCATGTTTTGGTATTGAACGGTACTCTCGGAATTAGTACTTCTACAGACTCTCTATTATAGCCAAGATATCTGCCAAGGTTTCACGGCTCTCGATTAGGGATGAGCTGGCAGGGAAATTAATTAAGGTGTGGCTACACTACTTTCGTGCAACATTAGATGTATATCTACGAGTGCAAGCCACAACAGCGCCCAGTCAGACAAAAAGACGCCAGTTTCCTCATTAGAACGTTCTCGGAATATTGGTATAGCGTCCACTGTAGGGTTCATAGGCGATAAATTCATTCGTTATTGTCTCTCGCGCTCGTTTGATCCTCGCGGCTACATATGAAGATACTGTCCCTCATGCGTTGTCCGAATTGCATTGCTATTCGCTATTCGCTGTTATGCTATGACGTGCATAATCCTGACAATCATACCTATGTCGATTTGCCTAGCATATTATCCCTACGCGTACCTTATTCCGATTTTTGGGCTTACTGTTCCTTGTAAGCCCTGCATGTAACCTCGTTTGGTATCGAGTGATAGGACCCAATTTGTCTAAACGACACTAGCTGGATTACTTCTTTTCGTCTATTGTTACAGATTTTGTTCTTGATATCTTCATTTCAACGGCTTGATCACACGTCCATCGGTACTCTCACTGTTTCACGAACTAATCCCACGACTGCACTCTTCCAGAAGGGGCACAGTATTGGGAAATATGTACAGTATGCTACTTCTGATGTTCGTGCTACTTGTCACATCAGACCTCGTTTTTTTGTACCGGAATCTTGCATGATCATGCTACAACAAGTTTTAATCAAACATCCCGCCTCAAATGCATACTAAGGTACACGTGGGGTTCATTATATCCAAGGAAAGCTGATTTGAAATCATACAAGAACGCTCAAACAAGGATTCTGCATGCAACAATACATGCGGTTTAGATCTGGTTAGGTGCTCGTTTGTCGAGGTCCTAACACATCTTTGTACCATTAATTATCTTCACAATAAAATTGATATCACTTCGAGTTGTAGAAATGGGTACCTACAGTTTTTTATTGATTTTTAGGATACCTTCAATACCAAAAGCCATAGCTCAGCTGTTGGCCAAGATCCCAAGAGGTGCCTTTCCGGCTGGAATTGGACCCCTTAGATCTACACGAAGGAGGTCTAGTCCCTGTACCGCTCTCCCAAATATCTACACACAACAAGATCTCAAAATCCTTCATTCCAGCAGCATTCACAGTCTGACTGGGCTAGCCTCAATTCCAATATTAACATCAAGCTTCACGATTACCACGAAGCCACTGCATAGCTAATACGACATTCCCTTAGTCGGCGAATTAGAGATCGGGTGCCTCTGAGCCCCTGTTACAATGAACGAGTGTGGTCTGACCGTGCATAGGATATTAGTCCTTTGGTCACCTATTCTTATCCTTACTAAATGCTTGTCAAATTTTAGCCTTGCCTATAGTGCTTGCCTGCGATCATTTTGACACTCGGTCAAGCATAAAGTTATCAGCCGCTGACACCACGATATGCCTGGGAGATCAACAACCTTTAACCATTCAAATCTCTATCAGATCCCCCCTCACTGGAAAGTACGATAAAGGGAAAGAAAACTGCCGCCAATGTTAAATGGAGAACATGATTTTCTGCACATATTGCGGAAAGAGTTTCACTCGGAAGGAACATCTAGAGAGGCATATACCAAGTCGTAAGTAACAAGGAATTCTGATCTCGCCATTATATCAGAGCTGTTCACTAAGATAAAGTCCTCTTACAGATACAAACGTAAAGCCACATAGGTGTACCTTGTGTCAACTGTCCTTTCCTAGAAGGTATACACAAGCTCGTACTATTGCCATGTCAAAACTCGAGCTCCACTGATGTTTGACTTCCAGAGATCTTCTACAAAGACATCACTCCACATATCATGAGGCCAAAGATCCTATGGAGCCATTGCCGGGTGGTGTTCCAACAGTCAACGGCCGAACACCGATTGCATGTATCAATTGCGCTAGTGCAAAGACAGGTTGCGATAAAAGGGTTCCTTGCTCAAGATGTGCTGAGAAAAATCTGCCATGTGCGAGCAGATATGCCCGACGTTCATCAAAAGCTGCGAACCGGTCCTCAAGCTCGCACAAAAAGACACCACTAGTCCAAGAGCCACAGCATGAGCCCATAAATCAGGACACAGTACCAAAAGAAACATTACCAGAGACAAAAATCTGTCCCACGGATACTCCCATAGACCCGCAGTTTACGGGAGTGACACCAGGAAAGACTGGATATTCTGTACAAGATTTACATTATACTGTCGATGATTTCGGACCTTCCCCAGGGGAAAGCCTTGGAGGCATGGACCATTCGATGTTCGGAAACACAGACTCTATGAATGGTAACAATATCAACTACCAAGACCTCATGACATGGAGTCAATATCCCTTGGACCTTGAATTATACTCGATGGGATCCGAAATGCCCAACAGTTTAGTAGCGCCCAGCTTCCTAGAGTCGAGTGATACCTCCTCAAATTCAGAGCCAATATTTTCTGGATCTATACATCCATCTCCATCAATGTCACATACCAAGAGTGCGAGCATTTCTTCCCAATCAGATGCAAATCGCCCAGTCAAACTCATCGACATTGCGGTGCCAATTTTGACCGATAACAATACCATGGACTTCGAGCTTCTTATAGCTGCAGAATCGGCATGGCCTCTTGCACGATGTAATCCTCGAATGATTCCCGGACCTTCAGCACGAACAGCTGTAGCATACCTCGAGAATCTGGAGCACAACTCGAAGCATGAAGCCATATGGGAGTCATTAGATCACGATGTAGAATCAGCCGAGGTTCGATACGGAAATGGTATATCAGTTATGCCCGTGAGTACGAGCACTAGAGACCGGATAATTGCCATCACCCAAAGCTTCCTCCATACAGCACTAGAAACGCATCGAGGTGGTTTGAAAGCCTGGCCAAAATCTTCAAATTATGCAAGTCCTGATGCAGGGTTCAATTTTCTCGTCCTACCTCCCTCAAACGCCTTGGAGTATTTCCTCCGAAGTCACGTTCGCAGTTTAGCTCCGTATTACACGCTGATTAATGGTGGCAACCTTGATCCAAATGAACTAATGCTCAACAATCAAACTTCAACTTTACTTCTATTATTAATGATAGCACACGGTGCAGCAGCTCTCCCAACCGCTGAAGCTAGATGCTTGACAGCGGGGTTGACAGAAGCTTGTCGTATATCGCTTTCTAAGGTGATTGAAAAGAATGTTGATTTATCAGCTGACCCTGTGGTTTTTAAATGCGCACTACTGTTCACTATACTCGGAGCTTGGGGTGGAGATGCTTCACACATGAATTTAGCTATGGCACAACGAGGGATGTATCTTGCGGTGAGTTTCTTACTATGATCGAAACTTCATCTTATACTGACTTTCTGGGCTCTAGATGCTGAAGCATACTGGCATGTTGGAACCTCACATACCAATGGCACCTTCTTTCCACGAAGCCACAAATACAGACAACCTGTGGAAAATTTGGCTACAGAGAGAAAAGAAAAGCAGGTAAACGCATATTCCGAAAGTTCAATATATCGCAGCACAATGAAGTCTCACTCTTAATCCGGTGTCCGTTGTGTAAATTATGCGAAGGCTAACAATATTTTTAGGCTGGTCTACAACTGGGTCATGGTGGACCAGGAGCTGAGCTTGTTCCACGACACCGCGCCTATCATGTCGATTACAGAACTTGAGACTCCAATGCCTGGTTTAGAATGCTTTTGGCTTGCCAAAGACTCAAACGAATGGGCAACAATTGTCCAGCAAACTTATATCGGCACTGATTGGCTCTTAAATCCGAATTCGATTGGCACACCGCCTGTTGAGCCGTCACTGTGTGGTCTCTTCCGAGACATGCTGTCTGACAATATCGAACGTCGACATGGCCAATTATCTCCACTGCAGCTGAAACTTCTTCTTCATCCACTTCATAGCTCATTGTGTCATCTTCATCAAGCTTTGAGCTTTCACTCCGAAGTATATAGCTCCCGACAAGGAACTAGAACTGTTACAAAGGCATCTAACTTACTACGTCTCGAGGAAGCTCAGTCATTACTCCAGAAATGGTATGATCTGTGCGAGTTCCATGCCAAAAACAACCCAAATTGCGAAATTACTCGAGCCAATCTCGTGCTGTATCACCTAATAAGCCTGAATGCGGTGACTTTCTTCCCAGAGATTGAGCGCCTAGCACGAAAGGAAGATTTCAATGGCACAAGCTTGGAGCTTTCTCTTCGTTACAAAAGATGCATATACAATTCAGGGGAAGCTCTTTTCCATTGTGGACAAGTCATTCGCCTCGTGACTTTGATGCCAAAGGAAGGACGTCCGCGCTGGTGGTCGGTGGCTATCTATCGTGCTACTATGATCTTGTGGCTCGAAAGTGTATCACGCATTGAAACTTATACACAAAGATTTGATAAAGGTCTGATATTTCCGATTGATGCAGTGGCACCGGATCATCCCTCTGTCAAATCTTATCTCTGGAACGGGGAAGGTACTCCGGTACTTAGCAAGGCCGACGGGTATGTGGAACTCGATAAGCCTAACGATGTTATGAATCACTGTATTTCTTTACTTCAATTGGGTGTTACTCTACCGGTAACGGACGGAATAAGGAGGAAGTTATTGGCGTTCTCAAAGAATTGGAATATGGAAATCATGGCACAGAATACATAGAGCATTGGATCGGCACTTGTCTAGAAGTTTTTGGGCTTGCATATTGGAAGGGGGTAAATTTATTTTCACGTTGGCATTTGGGAGCTTTACCATGTTGTATTGTGTTAACACAGAACTCAATCTCTAGATTCACAAGCTACAAAAGTCTTAGGCTCAAGAGCTCAGATGTATTACAAATCCGTCTTAAAGTACCACTTTTCCTACTCCCCACCGTGCTTTGCATTGCCTTTAGCGAGATGTTGAAGAGAGCAGGACGCGAGATTTACCGAGGAAATTTTGGGATCAGGTATATGCATGCGCCGGTAGACGGGGATGAAGATCTTGATCAAAAAGTTGGAAAGACGCATATATGGACATTGGGCTGCATATGTAGCATCTTTGTGTATGTGCATCCAATGCTTCTTATCTCGGATTTTTTTGGGGATTTAGTTGCGACATAATCGGTTGGCATTGGAGCCACAAGACGGGAGATCAGGGGTGCTTATCAGAACTAAGCGCCTCAAATTTGTAATCATACCTTCGATCTAGAGTCCAGGAGCTCAATTTCGAAATCCATAGTATGGTATCATTAACTTCCGTAAATCGGCATGTACAAATGTTTGAAACTCTCCCGGACATCCGGTGGGGGATTCTGCCACAAAGCTTAGTACTAGTCGTGTCAAAACCCATTACTATTTACGAATAAATGGGCTTGAAGATATGAACTGGAGAAGGATTGGGCCCTGAGAAGGCACTTGATCTTGACAACCATTCTTTGGTCCGATCACGTGGTTTCTCGGAATAAGGATTTGCATACCTCAAACCTTGGTAAGCGATAATGAGAAGCAATATCAAACTAATTCAACTGACTTAATGCAATTAGGGAATAAAGATTTACCGAAGAAATTCATTCGTTTCAAGGCATTCATACGATTCGAAACAAGGCGTCTAGGTCTCAGTCAGCCGTCTATGCAAGTGAGATCGTATACACCACAAAGTGTAAACAAACTAACACTCTGACAGGCAGACCATATATTATTACCGGCTCGGGGGAATACTATCGATACCGGAGCTGTAGCATTGCCAGTCAGCCGCGGAATATTCTCCGAACATTGGCATAATTACCTGGGCAACACTTGCCCTATTGAAGTTACAGCCACCTGAGAACCTGAAGCGTCGCTCGGGACGATAGTTCTCGCGGGGAAGTGGGAAGCTATATTGTATTGACAGCTAATATGCAAGCATGATTCGATATCTTCAAGTGAATTGAGGATCCCCTGGTCCACATCAACAGAATTGACAGTGGCATTTCGTAATGTGTCGGTCAATGACTTGATGATTAATCACCACGATCAACTATGAAACGAATTCGAGCGGTTCGACGTCGTGAATGTGCATCGTGATATTGATACAAAAGCCTGTTAAGATGTTACCGAACCAAGTTTTGTTTACTTGAGGCAATGTAGTTCTTGTAATCAGATCTACCTCGTCTCTCCACAGTCAATCGGCGCAACGCGGTGTCATTGTAGTACAGTTCCCCTCATGGAGATTATTAGCCCATGATCGTGATATTGATATCTCTAAGGCAGCCTTCGTACCACCTGTAAGTCCCTCGCCAGCCACCGAATGCTGACAGGAACTTGGAAGTTTGTACGGTTTGAGATAAATGAAGAGTCTCATGCTCTTCAAGCACCACAAAAATGATTTTGAGCTGCTAAAAGCCAGCATAAAGTCTGGTGGTATGTAGAGCGACGTCATAGAAAGATGGGCTGGCTCATCGGTAGCCAAACTCATGGCCTTGGTCGAGACTTTTGATCTGCCTAGATGGCTGCAAGAGAAGCACCTTCATCTGATGATCAGGTTAAAGAAGTAGAGACCCTCGTGAAGCCACGATCAATGCATGCCATCTTACTATCAATGATGAGAGCAAGGCTAGATTAAACTTTTCGTCATCTGATATGCTTTGCGCGCATTTGTTCATTTCTAAACAACTCGTGATATTTAATACTAATCGTCCTTTATTGAGTCAAACTTCAATTTCGCAAACCTCTCTGATTTATATTAAAATAGGGCTATAATGCGGGTGTATTGATACACGGGTATACAAATGCCGTTCGCAAACCACCCATCAGCCTGACATGAGACCTATCATATAGCTAGCATCCCATCCAATCGCAATTTTCTTCTGCTCGGATAGAACCGAAAAAGCACCCCAAACAAGTAGGCCGTACCCTAATAACGGCGTTCTAGACTTTTATTTACAGTACTAGAAGAAACCTTATTTATATCGGCCCAATGAATAGCTTCATTTGTCCATGATAAAGTCTATTTTAGTTGCATATGAAATACAAGCTTTTGATCCCTACTCGCTTACAGTATACCATTTCATCTCGGCAAGCTCGGAATGAACAGATTTCCATGTATCGACCGTAACCTTATTACGTCATACACGGTATACTTAGTCTACCTTACCCTTGCCCTTGCCCCTGCCCCTGCCCATCATCTAATCTTCAGCATTCGATGGGCATGCCATGTTATCTACGACCTCGCCATCGTATCTTCTAAAAAACCGAATGCGAGAAATAGGTTGTACAACATGTGATGTGGGTGAGATGGACAAGGATTGTCTAATGTAATAAGTCAGAGCTGCAGGATCGATGTGGCTACCGTATATATTGGTGGCTAAGTGTGTGCATAGAATCTGCCGCAATTGGAGATGCGAAGTACATACTGATGCACATATAGGTAGGGATGCTTGTGGATGTGGAATGTGGGGTGGAAATGCGTGGGTTAGGGTGGGGAAGCAATAGGTAGGCACACGATAGTCATACACGGGACCTCGGTGAGATAACTACTATCCATTCAACCATAGCCTTGCATTGAATAACATTTCTTATCTCATGGCATATGAAGTTAGTTCGCTATAGCCCCTATGTGCGAGTTCAAGTGGATTTGAAAATAAAACTGATGGATTATTTAATGTTTGCAAGAAGATAAATTATCATGAAGGAAGATATCTGGGTGTCATATGTAAACGCAGAGTTTATATTTGGCTATTGTACGTAGATACCGGTAAGGAAAGTGACATTCACATGAAGGAGGAAAATCGTCAAAAAACAGAAAGAAAGCCACCCAAACGAGCACCACCAAATTCTAATACAAAGATACAAGGAATAAATTCACCCGATCATATCATAAGTGCCTCTCTCATCAAATCTCCTAGAGTTTTAACCTAGTGACATAGTTAGCATATAGATATTGCAGAGGTAGTAGAGATTGAACTTACATGAGGGGCATGCATCATAGAGAAATGATTTCCTGGCATGCGTCTGGTCACGAATTTATCGTTGCCCAGATATTTATCCCAAATAGAAGGTCCAAAATCCGTTCTATTGTCTAACAAGAATTGAGCATGACCGAATGGGAAAGGATCCGGTCGTGGATCTGTTGGTAGTTTACAAACACCATCTTCACACCAGATGGCCATCACATGCGGTACTTTCTTGGGGTCGATTGGTTCCGGCATGTATGTCGATAGAGCTTGCACAGACGAGGCAAAATGAGGAAGAAGCCATTCCGGAATTTTGCTTGGGTCACCTTTACCGTCACCGAGGAGACCGATGGAAGCGAACCATTTATGAAGTGATGAGGGAAGAGGCTCGATGATGTCGGGGCATGGTGTGTCAATGAGAATGAGCTTGTCGACAACTTCATTGTTCTTGGTGAGCTGGTTGACTACTTCATAGGCAATGACACCACCGGCACTCCATCCGGCTAAGAGATAGGGACCTATTGGCTGGCGACGCTTCATCTCCTTGATATAATGTGTAGCTATACCCACCACACCACAAGTGAATTCTTCAGGGGTCTTCATAAAAGGTGAGTTCAGACCGAAAACTGCAACATCAGACGAAAGTGTTGGGATCTCAGTGTATGAGGTTGCGGATCCACTTCCATCTGGCACGATCCAAAGGTACTTGCTAGCTTTCCTCATGTTTCCTTGAAGTAGGATTGAATTGGCTACTCTTTGAGGTGTGGCCTGCACGGCAGGAACAACGGTGAGGGCTGCTGATGTGGCCGGCTTTGACTTCTCCGATGAGGTCTTAGGCTTCGGCTTCGGCTTTGGTTTTGACGGCGCTTCGACATTAAGAGCCCTTTCAATATCGCGGATGGTCTGGTTGACCTGGAAGAGGTCAGATGGAAGCGAGAGCCCCGTCTTCTCTCTCAATCGACCAAGTACAGTAAGAGCCATTAGTGAATCCATGCCAAGTGAAGCGAGGTCAGGACAACTCGCAACTTCTAGAACATCGATCGCCATTTCTTCCGCGATTGTAACTCTGATAATGTCTCCAAGGTTATCCACAGCACCGGTGGCGGAAACTCCGTCATCTGAAGGATCAGTGAACTCAGAATCATCTTGTGGATCGTGTACCGACTCCCCAGGGCTAGGTGTGGTCAAAGGAGAACTTGGATCTTCACTGTAGGCAGCAGATGGCTTTCCTTCGAATTGTGATAAGAATGATTTGAAAGCTCCAATATTGGCATAGTTAATGAATTCGTTAGAATTGATCTCAATCTCCAATTCTTCTCGCAATCTGCCACATACTGTCAAGGCCATGAGCGAGTCGACTCCGAGATCAGTGAAAGCAATGTTGTCAACAAGCTCGTCAATTTTTACTCCAACTTCTACAGCGAGAATATCCATGACTTTCGAAGTAACAGACAAAAGCTTTTCGTTCACCTTGGTGATATTGGCCTTTGTAACTTGTGTCTTTTTGACAACATTTGCCTTCAAAGCCTTGGGAGGCTGAGGTGCCCGAGGTGCGGGAGCTGGCTTCGCAGTAGCCGCAGCACCCACTGGAGGTAAGAACATGTTGAGAACCTTTCGAGGAATTGCTTGGAAAGCTAGGCCGCCGACCATACCTATAATTGTGTCCCCATCAAAAACGTAGACATCGCCCGCCATTGTTTTATCCTTACGCTGCTGCATCCTGACGTAGGAGCGGTAGGTCTTGTCCGCACTTAGAGGTTCCGCGAATTTCAAAGATTCCCAACCATGTGAGATATAAACCTTTTCGCGTGAATCGACGGCATCCGAGCCGTTGACGATGAATCCAGAAATATGTGCCACGCTGTCGATCCAATATGGGCTGCATTTAAAGGTTCCATCTTTCTCTGTGGTTTGAAACACGACACGCGATGTAGCTTCCATCTTCATGCTGTCAAGAATTACCTCTTCCATGCCACGATATTTCTGATCATAGTCAACCAATGCGGCGAAAAGCTTGTAGGCAAGACCCCGCCCGATTTTAGAAGCTTTGCCATTTCTTTCGGCCTCCTTTAACCAATCAATTCGTGATTGAATGAGATAAGCAGTTCGTTGGAAGTCGGCATGATACTCTTCGGTGTCACCAAAGAAGACTTGACAATTTGCGTGCTCGACTCGAGCTTTATCAGTCCCCGTGGAAAAGAGGAGATCAGCACGACCAGTTGCCGCATTGATCGTGGCGGTGAGTGTGAGTACTTGGGATTTTCCCTGAGGATCAGCTATCAATGGCTTGGGTACCTTCATTCTTCCAACGTCCATGCCTAGATTCTTGACATCAGGTCGGACAAGCTTATAGGCATACTCGCATAGAGTCATGGCCATATCTGCGTACAAAGACTAAAATAATGTTAGCGTGTGCTATCTTTTACGAGCAATGATACTTACTGATGGGCATAACATCGCCCCATTGACGAGATGGCCAGTAACAACTCCACGAAGATCAGCTCGTGCCAAATCAGACTCGGCAATAACTACAGCAACATCTCCATCTATCTTCTCGCTTGTGACGGTGTGAATGGTGGAAGTTGAAAGCTTGGGCTTGGGAGGTTCCAGCAGAAGAGGAGCTTTTCCAGGCAATTCTCCTTTTGTCAAACACCAGTCTCCTTCGTACTGTATCCAATAATTTTTGTCATCAAATGCGTAAGTGGGCAGATCGAGAAGATGAACAGAGCCACTGAAGTCTCGATGATATTCGTTCCAGTCAATTTCAAGACCAGCAGTGTGCAAAACGCTGAGGCTGTTGCTGAGAGTCTTGTATGCACTTTCATTTCTGCGGAGTGATGAAGCAGCGACAGTGGACGTACCGACTGTTGCTTTGACCAATCCCAAACATACTGGATGCGGTCCTACCTCAAGCCAGACAGTCTTCTCATCTATAATGCCAGAGTTTTGAGCAGAGACAAGTCCATCTAGGAAATTGACAGGTTGTCTCGCATGATTGCGCAGATATGCAGCATCAATGGCCTCAGAATCGTCGAGGCATCTACCAAACAGAGACGATATAAGCGTGACCTTCTCTTTCCCGAAGTGTACAGATTCAGCTAACTTCTCAAATTGATCCAAGATAGGCTCGACTTGGGCAGAGTGGAAGGCAAATGGGACTTTAAGTTGTGTGCATTTGAAGCCAGAGTTGCAAAGTCGATCGGAAACTTGCGAAATTTCAGCAGCCTCGCCGCTGAGAACGGTCTCTCGAGTACTGTTGATGCACGCGATGTTCACGGGTGTCCCGATCTCCTCGAGTGCTTCGGTCACCGCTGATCTCGAGCCTTGTACTGCAAGCATGGCATGGGTACCGGCAGTGCATCTTTCAATCAACAATTGAGCTCGTCTTCCAACCAAGTAAATGGTATCACTAGCAGATAGTATTCCAGCAACATTGAGTGCGGCGTATTCACCCAGACTATGACCAATCACGACGGAAGGCTTGACGCCCCAGGACTCCCAGAGTCGAGCCATTGACATTTCCAAGCACACGATGGCAAGTTGCACCATCACAGGTGACAAGCCTTGAGCGTCAGTTACACTGCCATCGATCAAGGAGATAAATGACGGTAATCCAAGAATTGTAGCAATGTTATCGAATTCCATGATAGTCTCCTTGAATAGTGATGAATTTTCGAACAACTCGCGACCCATGGCCGCGTACTGAGATCCTTGACCGGTGAACAAGAATGCAACCTTCGGTGGTTCTGGTAGGACTGGGATGAACTGTTCATGCAGCTTAGATTTCAGGGCTGCCGAAACCTCGGAAGTTTCGCTTGCTGTCACTGTCATTCTCCATTTATGTTGAATCCTACGTGCAGTAGTGGTATACGCCAAATCTGCAATATTAATATCCCTATTTCGTTCGAGATAGGATATCAAGCGCTCTGCATTGTTAAGCATAGCAGATTTTGATTTTGCAGTGATGGCAATAACATGTGTGGAACGAGGGTCAACGTTGTTGGAAGGTAGATCGGGGGCATCCTCGAGTAACAATCCAGTATTTCCACCAGCAGCGCTGAAATTGTTAACGAAAATGCGTCGCGGAGTACCAGACCTCTTTCTAAGAAGTGGCGTATTCTTGAAGGCGATATGCACATTACGTTCCGCAAGATCTTTAGGAAATCCTTGGTTGATTGTCTTTTTGATACCGACGTGAGGGGGTATGTTGTTTTTCTGCAACATCATCAAGCATTTGATGAGAGCGGTGACACCAGATGCGGCTTCCCCGTGTCCAACGTTTGCTTTTATAGCACCAAGATAAAGAGGCTGGTCTGGTCTTCGCTTTCGATCTGCCGATGCGAAAACATTGGTGACAGATTTCATCTCTGTCCCGTCTCCGGCCTGGGTTCCGGTACCATGCATTTCCACATAGTCGATATCGTTGGGATCAACGCCCGCATTGGCTAAAATACGCTTGTATAGAATTTCCTGTGTTCCTCCGTGGGGGTGAGTAATTGAGACAGCGTCCGCCGAGTGATTGGTGGCACTTCCAAGAATCACAGCCAAAACATTGTCCTTGCTAGAAGAGAAAAGATGTTAATTTTGAATCATAGGAAGTGTAATTCACACATTGAACTTACTCAGCTAATGCATAATCCAACCTCTTGATGATCACAGTACCGATACCGTCTGCTCTGCAATAGCCATCCGCATCGTGGTCAAAAGTGGCACATGGCCCATTCTTTGATAAAAACTGCCCTCGACTCAAGCCAGAAAAAATATCCGGATTTGTCATACATGAGAGACCACCAACAACAGCTGTATCACAATCCCCTGCCCACAAAGACGTGCAGGCTAACTGTAGTGCGGCGGCACTGGAAGAGCAAGCAGTGTCGATGTTGAAAGAAGGTCCTGAAAACCCGAAATGATAGTTAATGCGGCCTGGGCCAAAAGCTCTTACGCCTCCTGTAATGAAGTACGTATCCACATCTTGGGCCGCATTTATTTCTCTCCAGTCATCACTCGTCTGTCCATAAAATGTACCGATTCGGTCAAGCTTCGTAGAATGCGTCCTATTGGGCACATAACCAGCCATTTCCAGAGCTTCGTATGCGGTTGCGAGTGCGAGACGTTGCATGGGACACGTTTGATATGCCTCTCGAGGAGACATATTGAAAAATCGGGGATCAAAAAGTCCTGGGTTCTCGATCCAGCATCCATAAGGAGTATGACTAGTGTTCCTGATTTTGCTTGTTGGGTCGAAATGTGTCGCAACATCAAATCTGTCTTTCGGCACCTCTCTGTGAACATCTAGGCCATTTTCAAGCAACTCCCATAATTTTTCGTGGCTTGCAGCATCTGGAAATCTTCCAGCCATTCCGACGATGGCAAGCTTGCATTTTCCAGGGGATACTTCTGTCGAATTTTGTTGCCTGGCCGCCTGTTGATTTCCAGATTGCGGTGATCGCAGAGTTATATCAAGCTCCGTCTGAGATTCTAAAACTGCTGCTAAAACCTTAGCTGCACTGGTAGGACCTACATAACATTAGCAATCTGAAAATATTTCTTTAAAAACATCTTCTTACCAAACGGAATAATCAGGCATTCTCGGCCTTGAAACACCTTTGCTTTCTGCACGCAACCCTGGAGAATTTTGCTAAACAATATTGGCTCTGTCAACATCTCGAGCAGAATCGCTTGGAGCAACAATCCAGGCTCTTGCTCGGTATACCAAGTTCCAGTCGTGCAAGACATTACAGGAAATCTGCTTTTCAGGTTTCCGAGCGCTTCCCGGACCTTTTCGTCTTTCAAATGCAAAATCTGTTCCACGTTCAAACTCGAACGAAGATGAGCAGCATGATAGGGGCCGTAGACGGGAATAGATACTGGCCTCGCCTGGAAAACCTCGGACGCAAAAAGTGATCTCAAAGTAGAAGGAGGTCCACTGATCGCAATACTTTTCGAAGTTATTGCACTAATATAAGCATAATTTACCAAAGGTGTTGTCTTTGACGAGTCAGTAAAAATCGACAAATTTTAGAAAATGATAACGCACATTTTCTTTGTGAAAATCGCCAAGTATTGAGCTTATTTCGCTCTCCTGGGCAGCTGGAACGACATAAGTCCAGCTTTCTGGTAATTCTGATCGGTTGTTAAGCCTGTCGGCAAGAGCTGCAACGTGTGCTCCTGTTCGGAATGCCATCAACATCACTTGGATGGCGATGGGTATAAGTTGGGATATTGATGGAGAAGAAGCAATTGCTGCTGCTGCAAAAAGCCCGGTGCACAAGCCAACGAGGCAAGTTTCACTGGGAATGGTCGAATCTCCATGTTCTTTCTCGTAACGACTGAGTATTTGTGTTAGTTACACAGCTGAAAATTTAGAGTATCTATACTGACTCGATATATTGGGATAATTGAGTAATACACAAAAGAGCACTGTCTATAGCAGGGTTTCTGACGTTTCCAGCGTGGTATAGCTTATTCAGCTCGAGAATCGTGGCAAATTCTGGTATCTTGTTTCGCTGGAGGCTTGGTAATCTATCAATTTCCTCCCTAAGAGCGGAGCCAGCCTGCTCAAGGAAGGATCTCGAGAGCACACTTGGTCTCCCATGTTGGCAAAAGTCGGTCAAGAAAGTATGCGTGTCCAATGACTGGTCCCCAAAGACCAGGAAAGACATTTTGTCCCCCATATTCAGTATGATACAAAAAGCTAAGTTGGTAGAATAAACACCAGAAGATACCGCTGGTATTTCATCAATTTTATATACACAACTTGCAGCAGGGTCAGTTTATATTGAATTTCCAGAAAAAGCTCAGCTCAATTCCCCTGATTTGAAAGCAATTTACGGAGTAACCTTTAGCTTCAACCATGTCATGAAGGCAAAACTGTGTGGATCATTATCAGCTCATAGACTTCTGATGTCTTTTGTCCGGTCATCAATCTTGAAATAATAGAACAAACAAGGGTCAAAAAAGCTTGTTTGGAATGATGGAGGGTGCGGGCCGACTAAAGAGGTAGATTGTACTGGGAATTTAACACTGACAATACCATATATCGCATTACTCTCTTTTCGGTATCAACGTCTATTACCGGGAAAGGGAGTTCCTGACTCAACGCCTATACGGATACGAAATGGGATGGATTGTCCAATTCTACCACATCATTTTGTGATTAGATTAGCTCTCCTGAATATCGGACTGGATGAAAAGGATCCCATTCGCCCGAGATTAGGTACCCAAGATACGAGGGTAATTGACATTCGAGCCAGGTGGTACCTCGCATAAGCAACGTCCGTACTGACAGTAGATAACACCGCAGCATTGATTGTAACAAGTTCCGGTGCGACATTGTCCGGCGGACATCCCCACGCGGCCATAATTCACTGCTAGAATTTGAGCAGCTCAGCCTACTAGCCGAACGCGTCCCAGTGAGGGAACAAGTTACTTGGTAGTCAAATGTCTTAAACTCGACCAGCTAGACCACCGCGAGATATACATAATAAATCTGGGCGAATTCTTAAACGTGGGGGAGGAGATACCTCCATGAGTGCGGTTGTACGGTTGTAGTTGCAGTTGCAAAATAGGAGTCGGTGTTAGGGTGAGATTGCGCAACCGGAAAATAAACACGCTAGCGAAACGAGATTTATGGTATGTTTGTAGCACGTGACCTAATTAAGCCACTTCCTTCCTTCCGCCAAACATGTCCAATCGTACCTTGTTTTTCTTCTTCATTTCTCCTTCTTCTTCGCTTCTCTGGGGTTGATGTCTTCGATCTCCAAAGACCCGAAATTAGGTTGTTCTAAATCACCATGATTCAGCAACGTAGGTACAGCTACATTTTCGTGGCGATATCGACTGGTTGCATGGGGGCCAGTTGTTCCGACAGGTAGGTCCACATCAATACTACCGGTATCTATTTTTCAACATCTTATTTCATGTGGACAGTTTGTACTTATCTATCCCAGGCTAGATGCATATCCGAGCTGGAAACTTGCATATTATTGGCCTCAGCTGTGCTACGGACAGTTGTCAGACGATAGATAGCACGTGATCATCTTATATCATCCGGATATCTCGAAGACTAAATTCTCGAGTAGTGCGCTCGACCTTTGTTTCTATCATATAATCTACGCGGGTCTCTTCTACGGAGTATTTCTATCGTTCTTGCATTTATTTCGGACCCATCTCAAAGCAAAACTCTGGCCAAATAGTGTTACTACAAGTCACTATACTGACCTCAACAGACTCCAGGACCTTTAAGACTGGAAGGTCTAGATTTCAGATTAATTTCCGGCATCTAAAACCCAAGACTATCTCTGGGGTTTGGACAGACGTACAGCTTCCCATTCCAGAACGAATTCTTTCGATATTCCTTGCAAAACGGTCTAAATAGAGGAAGTGTCACCAGTGCTGTAATCCTCCACGACATATCGTGCCGAACTTATCGCGATGAATGCAGGTGCAGTCCATACTTTTCTACCGTGTTTTTCAACCCCCAGAAATCTGTCTTCTTGTACTTCAGGTGCGACAATGCCTTTTCTGAGCATCCAAATCTTTTGGCGTTTTTAGATCGTACAGTTAGTAACGACAAAATTACCACGTTACTGACAATATCTACAACGACTCCAAGAGCCTGCAGAATAGAACTCCCACCGGAAGACGAGCTCAACAATTGATAAATATACAGAAATTACAATCCCCAGTGGGCCTTTTTCTCCATCGCCTCTACGAGGGACATACAAATGCAACTCCAGATTATTTTGCTCGGGAAAGTCGATCTCGCCACTAAATCTGGGACAAATTGAAATTGAAGAATGTATCAATGACCCAAGAGATTGTTTCTGAGTTCCACAAACACACTGTTGTGATTCCCACTCAGAGATTAATTAAAAAGATAGTTCAAAACAAATGCTGTCTTTGAAAAGGGGGCGGAGAATCGACGATTCGAATCATTGGATGATTATCACTAGATACTCAATTCTGCGAAGTTGAAGAAACAATGGATGACCACATAACTTATCTCATCCGGAGATGAGCAGGCAAAAAGTCTACCAGAGATCAAACCATGAGGATTCCGTATTATCGTCGCATCGTCGCATCTTCGCATGATATCGCAAGATGTAAACCGAGAATTTTTCAATTTGCCATTGCACCTCTATTCTATCGTGACAACTAATATCGATGATATTGTTACAAATAGAACATTGCAGGCATGTAACCTAAGCCGTGGCACCTTATAAAGTAAAGCCGTGCCACTTATATACGACAGTTGCCTTACAATCCCGGTATCTGCCGCGCAAGAAGGCGGATGCTTAACTCGAGTACGAGTAGATCAGGGAAGACTTGCCGGGCTTGTCACGATACCATCATGAAACAGTCAATTTCTAGTTGCGATGTCCATATCTATCTGATCTAACCAAGCAATTGGTAGAAAGACATGACAATAATCTCTATTTGGCCAGTTCTCCTCTTATCGTCCGTGCTAATGACTTGGTTTACTCAACTCAAGATGAGTATTGGTTTACCGAGAAACGGGTCTTAACTCTCTCTAACCGGAGCAAATAAGGTGAATCAGGACTACACCACTACTAGACCTTCGCATTGCGAATAAAACATATACACAATCAAATTTCCTCTTCATGCAAATGCCTCTTTCAGTTCATAAATCGACACACAGCTCTCGAAGGTCCAGGCCTACCCTATGTATCCTTTTCTCAGTCACCAACAAATTGTTGGCATCTCCTTGGCAAAGAAATGCGGTCGTGTATACCTAGAACTATCTAGTCTACCACAGACAGCAAGATCTGTGTGAAGGTAGAGGACTTTGCATTCTTACAAGGTGATTACACTTCACAATTCTTCAATCTGACTAGATTGAACTACATTGCGTGTTATACCTACATTCCAACAATATATACAAAAGCCGTCCTATATCATGCGCCATCACATTTCAAACTCATTTTCGATCTAGCTCGTTCATATAGGACCATTGGGATGAATCAGAACCTTAGTATACCCATCCTCTCTTCTGTCGAATTTGGTATACGCGTTTGGTGCCTCATCGATACCAATTTCATGTGAAACGACAAATGAAGGCTTTGCAACGCCCGATATGATCATATCTCGAAGATACCGATTGTATGTCTTGACATTACATTGTCCAGTACCAATCGAAAGACCCTGAAGTATGTCAGCAAGAACCGATTGTAGCAGCACTATCGTCGGACTCACTTTCTCGAACAGCTTCCCAAAACTTATCAATAACATTCCTTGCCCGGCGTTGCTATCTGGAGCACCGGGATCACTTGGGACGTATAATCCAGGAACACCAATACCACCGGTTGGTCTTGTCACTTTGATACAATTTTCCAAGACAATACTCGGAACCTCTTTCTTTCCATCCTGTGCGGAAGCTTGGTACCCAACAGCATCCACGCTCCTATCGACCATCTGTCCATTTTGTTTTATAATCTCTTCGACAGCATCACTTTTCGTGAAATCCACAGCAATGCAACCGATTTTCTCCGCAGCATGTAGACGTTCCTTCACGCTATCCACCACAAAAACTTTGCTCGCCCCTCTAAGCTTCGCGCTATATGCAGCCATTAGTCCAACCGGACCAGCTCCAAATACGGCAATCGATTCTCCAGGTTGGAACCCGGACAGTACAACACCATGCCACCCCGTCGGGAATATGTCGGCGAGAAGAATAAAGTCGGCCTCATGCTCCTTTCCAGCGGGAAGGGGAAGGCAGTTGAATTCGGCATATGGAACGCGAATGTATTGCGCTTGACCTCCTTGATAAGGTCCCATTGCAACATATCCGTACGCACCACCTGCGAACCCGCTTAACAATGTTAGTGAAGAGCAAACGGGAAATTCGGACGAAAACTTACGGATTAACACCCGTACAAAAAGCTGTCTTCCCCTCTTCACAATTTCTACATCTCCCATCCGCCACATTAAATGGCATAACTACACGATCTCCTTTTTTGATATGCTGAACACCAGATCCGGTCTCAATCACTATTCCCATATTCTCATGTCCAAAACATAATCCACCCTGAGCAGCTGTTCTTCCTTGATACATATGCAAATCGCTTCCGCATATTGCAGCTGTAGTCACCTTCAACAATGCATCGTCTGGATGTTCAATTGTTGGCAGTGGGCGTTCTTCGACTGTGACTTTGAAGGGTTCTGCATTAAACAATCGTTAGTTATTTCTTATCCCATATCCTTTGAATCGAAGTAATGATCATACCTTGATATATAACTGCTTTCATCGTTTGCGCTTGAGACATCTTGAAGTCTAATTCTTACTACAAGTTGTGTCCTTGAGGTTCACTAGATGGATCCTCATTAATACCAACCTCAAATGCATATCATATTCTAATGTTCTTTCCCCGCATTTCGATTACCCAATATAGATTGTCCCAGGCTCCTGGGCGTTCATTCGTTCAAGGACCATGAAAGCCGACCCCGCACGCTGGTGTTAGTTCCTGTTGTATGGCGTAGTTCTGGAACGTATCGTGCATAGGTAATCACTTGCTTGTATATCCCCCGCGTTGGCAGTTGGTCTCGAAGGAGCAACTCTAAGGTAGAATGTGCCTAAAGATGCAGAGCCAATATGAGAGACACTTATTCGACGAAATGTGTAATTGAGAGGTGTAAGCTAGCATTAGCATCATTAAGCTTCTGATATAGCAATTGATCATATTCACACTGGATATGGACCTCGAATTCCATCCAGCGACTAAATTTCATCATAAACCTATTGAAGCGCTGCATCATTATATTAGCACAGCATGAGCAAGTATTCAGGTTGAACTCGATTGATGAAAGTCTGCGGATAATGGCAGAAATATTGCCGCTCCCCACCGCCTCGATGAAGGGGTTCCGGCTACCATGAGCTTTACCGAACCCTCATACCAATCGTTGCGGAGCAATGGGTAGAATGGATCCAGTTTTAGAACCACTATTGCCAGTTTACAATAACCAAAGCTCATTAAGTCCGATAATTTAGGCTATTGGAACTCCCGAGCTTTCAAAGAATGACCTCGGTTTGAGATGCTGCTCAGAATATAAGTACGAGTATTTGTGACCTTAATTTTTTTTTGGTACCGTTTAGTTCATCCATCTTGACAATTATACATACATCCTTAATCTAGACCACTTCAAATACACGAAAAGCTTCATATATACATAATGGCACCAATTCACTGCGTAGCAATTATTACTCCTGCACCAGGGAAGGAGGCTCGTGTATGTGACATCAACTTTCCCTTTACCTTACCTTTATTACCTCAAGCTAATACACCTATCCACCTTCAGCTTCGGGAACTCCTCACCGGACTCGGAAACAACGTTGAAAAACACGAGAAGGGAGTCAGCAAATATCAAATCTTCGAGCAATACAGTGGTGAGAAAGGAAATGTGTTTGTCGTCCAAGAAATATGTATGTTCCTTCGACCCCTCATTCCCCACCTTCTTTCACTCCCGCTCGCCCATAATGTAACATCACTAACAACAACCAGACGAAGATGAAGCCGCACACGAAGCCCATTTCAAAACATCCTACTTCACCGCGCTTGGAAAAATCTTACCCGAAGAGGGAGTTTTAGGTGCGCCATTAGATATCAAAACGATTAAGCCAATTGCTGGATTCGAGAGTCGCTAGAATTAAGATCGCAGAATATTGTCTCAAATGAACTCAATTGAAGACACTTTGCTCTTTACCATACTGTGATGAAATCCAGAGCGTACAAGAAAAGGTGAAAGTCGGTAGTAGTAATAAATTCATATAAGAATTGATTGAACTATAGAACTAAATATGAGGGAAATATCATTGTCTTATATAGCCTGATAGAATGCCTAGCGCTCTTCAGCGGAGGACTAGCCCCCTCCTGTCGCGCCCGACAGTATACCCTTTCGTGTCGGTACAACCGCCTGCGGCGCCGCCTGGCTCCTTCCTCTTTCTTCACACATACCATACCATACTTCTATCTCTATATCTACTTCTATCCATCTACATCCCTCAAAGCCCTTCATTTTCCACCAATCAAATGAAAGCAGTCTTAGGAGCAAACCTCCCCCCGATCACAGGCGAGTTTTCAGTCAAGCCATCCCAATCATGTGCATCTAAAGCTGCCTGTCTACTTTTTAAGACTGCTTCATGAGTTCTTGGTCTCATTTCCGCTTCATACGCGTCGATTGCTTCTTTTTGCGTGATTTTTCCAGCTTGGACTTTCTTCAATTGGTCGACCAGAAGAGCTGCGTCCAAAATGCCGTGGTTTGCTCCTTCGCCTCGATACCTATCCATTTTGTTAATTTCTTCCGTTTTCCGTCAAATCGTTTTTGTAACTCTGTTTCCAGCAACCTGGTAGTACAATACAAGTAATGTAACATGTCAAAATTAAAGGAAATAAACATATAACTCACATCGTCATAGCATGCGCGGCATCTCCCACTAATGTAACCCTCCCACCCCAATTATCCCATTCCTGACAAGGCCAATCACTCAGCCTCAACGGCGTCGTCGTAATATCCTCCGGAATATCCTGCACAATACTCCTCAACGGTTCCGCATATCCCTCTGCCCTCCTCTTAACATACAGCACTCTCTCTCTATCCGTCCGGGGCATCGTATCCTTAATCTCATCTTTAATCAACCAAGAAATAACAACAAGCCCCGTGTAAGAGTTACTTCCATCAGCATTAGGTATAATTCCCTGCAAACTAAACCACATATACGTCCCCGTTTCCGGATCCAATCCCTGAAACAACAAAGGATCGATATCTCTCACAGCCGCAATCTGTGCCTCAGTAAAAGGCCTCACGATCCCCACACAGTAAACAGGCAGTTTCGTTAATTCGGACGTCCCAGTCCCCTGGTACAAACATCTCCGCGTCACACTATTATTTCCATCAGCACCCACAATCAACGTAGCACGAGACTCAGAGTGGTCTGAAAAATGCGCAGTCACGAATTGAGAATCGAAATCAGTCGATGCTGTGAATGATGTAAGACCTTTCCCTTCTTGGATAAAGAGGTCGGTAGCAAGCAGATTGCGGATTTTTTGTCGATCGAGGCGTCGGCGGAGTTTGCTGGGTGGGATTTTATAGCGCGCTTCTACTGTGCGGGCGTTGAGGAATAGAAAATTTCCATCGTCGTCGTTGAGGGCGGGGTCTACGGCTGCCTATTGCATCGTAGATGTTAGTTTAGTCACTGTTTCTTTTGCCGAATACTGTACATGATTCGTTCGTGAATTCTGATATGTTTCTTCGTCTCTTCAATTTCAAGACGATCCCACACGACTTCACTCCTGCTAGGAAACTCTTACCGTAGGTATCAACTCCGATAATCTCTCCCCAATCGTTCTTTCCAAACTTCTTAAACACCACTAGAAGATCACTCCGTCAGCATTTACTCCTCATATTAACCATCTCAGTCCCATATCACTCTCACACCAGCCCTCCAACTACCCCTCCTCTCCTCCTCCCCTCCTCCCATCCCCCAACCTTCTCCCTCACAAACCTCCCCAATACCCCTTCTCCTTCTCCTTCCCCAACACCACACCACACCACACCAAACCAAACCAACTCACATGTAAAGTAATAGCCCACCCCTGCGCCCTCTTCCCACTCTCATCCCTCTCCACAATCTCAAACTCAATTCCATTCTCCCTACACCCCTGCGCCAACGTCAATCCCACAATCCCCGCACCCACAATAAGAACCTTCAACTTTGATTTCTTATCTCCTGCTGCCAGATCTCCTGATGTTGTGATTTCGCTATATTTCTGTCAATTACATCGCTCGGGCCGGGAATACAAGGTTACTTACGATGTCATTTCCACGCTCTAATACTCTGATACTTTTATCGCTCAAAAATTGTAATTGAAATAAAATAAAATAAAATAAAACGAAACAGTTCAAATTGAAATGTATATCAAAAAGAGAAATCAAAAGTAAAGTGGGAGGAACGGCTTAGTAAATAAAAACCCTCAAGTTTTAAACATGCAATGTAGTCACGATAAGCCTACCTATCAATGAAAACCCCTCAATTCCAACCGGATATCAAGCCAAAAATGGCATATTACGCGCAAGACCAATGAGAAGTGCAGATGAGAGCCCTCCCTGCCCTGCAACTTTTACCCTGTCTGGGTTCCACTTGAAGATGTTATATAATATTAAATTCTAAGGATTTGATATCGTAAAGTTCGTTTCTTGTATTGTGGTGTAAGTCAGTGAGCCAAAAAGCTCATGAAGGTAGGTAAGATATTGCATGTCGTGAATACTTGTATTTGGGAATAAAACTGCTGTAGTAATAATGCTAATTATACAGTTAATTCCAGTATTTCTAACAAATCAGACTGTCAATTTCCCCTCAGATTCCCGAGCAATTCTTTAACTTCATAGCAAATGGCTCTACAACCTCATATCCCTAATCTCCATCTACATCTCCATCCTCGTCCCCATATCTCATCTCAAACTAAATCTCCCCTTCAAACCTTCAAAGCTAAAACCAAACCTCCATTTCTTCTCAGACATTCACACCACACCAGATCCCATCACGAAAATGTCTTTGGCCTCAGCGAACAAACATGTAATCATAAACCATCCCTCAATAGTCCAACTAGTTATCATGAAAATCCCCTCATTAGTTCGACTAATGTCACGAACTATCCTTCAATAGATTGGTTAACATCATGAGCTATCCCCAAAGTTGAGCTAATGTCATGAGCCACCCCTCAGTAGTTGGAAATAGTGTTATAAACCATCCCTCAAGTAGTTAATTACACTACGAGTAGTGAACAAAATAGCGCCAGCACCAGTACCTTAAGCGCACACCTTACCATCCTAAAGACCAAAATTCTTTTTATTTTCTGCTTCTCGTTTCTCTGCTTCTCTTGAAAACAAAACCATCCACGAAAAGCCTTTGAGGGGGAAAAAAGAGAAATTCCACGGGAACCAACCCACTCACGATTCAAATTATCAAAACAACCCCAACAAAAACCCAACGAAACCCAGCCCCCTCCACCTCATCAAACAATCCTCCATCATCAAACCTTCAGCCACAAACACCATGACTTCACCCTCACTAATCGTCGCACCACCGATCGAAGCCACATCCAACAAAGCATCAATCTCCTACGTCGCTGCGATCCCCTACCCACACCACGAACGAGCCAGTAGAGCCTGTCCTCCCTCCCTCATCATCCTCGGCGCCATCTTCCTCATCTGCTACATATACTGGATATGCACACGCGACTCCGATCGTACCGCCACGACCTGGAACCCCAAAAATATCTTCAGAATCCAATATCTTTCAAAAAAGGAGGCACGTGGACGTCCGTACAGGCGACGTATGTTTCCCATATTAGGTCCGCGTGAGCGTTATTATATAATAAGATTTGTGATGCGAATAATGTTCTATATTTTTGAGAGAGGAATGTTGGTGTTGGATATTCTGCGTGGAGCGAGGGATAGATTGAATAGAATAACTATTTTGAGGGGAGTCTGGAGTTAGGCGATGCGGTATCATATCATGGAGTATTATCTGGTGGGTGGTAGATATACATTGCGACTACGCAAGGAAGCGACTGCATAGGGATTTTATCATCTTTGTGTATCAATCTTGAAGAATGAAAACATTTGAAACCATACACTATGGATATATCTGCCATATCACTCATTGATTCCAAATAAGCTCAAGCTTGAACCTTGAATCTTGGAAATTGTGATGAATAGTGATAATTGTGCTTCCCCAGTCGCGAAATCATACAGGCTGAAAAAAGAAAGATTGCAGCAAAACATGCACTTGAAGTCTTGCAGAAAAGCTAACATAAAACATATGTAACAGAATAAACATAAGGAGTCAATACCCTTACCTCTGAAAAAAGAAGACTCCATTCGTACCTACTATCATTCCCAGTCATCATAACTTACAATCCGCCCATCCTATATCTTCCACAAACAGAGCTTACCTACCTCTTCTCCCTTCCCCGCTCCTTCCATCCTCCTGTCTTTACTCCCTAACGTTTTCCGACATCCTCCCCCATTTCTTCCCCATCCTCAAACCCGATATACATACATCACTCTCCTCACGCCCCAATTCATTTTCGTATCACAACCTGCCGCGTCGCACATCGCACATGGCACCAAATATAACATCCGCAGCAACCATTCCGATACCCCCATATTAAATCACAGATATACCGATACCACTCCCACTCCCACAGCATTCTGTACATTCATTACCTCCAATCTCCAATGCGACCTCCGCATATATCGAATGCGATGTAAATGTATCCAAGATGTAACAAGCGGCAGAACCAATTCAATGGGGGATGCATATCGTATCATCCGTAACCCTCCCATCTTATCTTCGTAGTTTCTCGTCTATTGATTGTTTGAAACATTTTGTATAAGTACCGCAGTCACTTCCGGATCAAGCGTCTTCGTGTCAGTAACCTCATACGCACCGGATAGTCTTGTTGTCGTCGAAAATCAATATAGTACATAACGGTGTCCTGTTCCTGTTATGGTTCCTAGTTCCTGCAGTACAAATACAACTTCTTGTACTTGGAAGACCTACTCTTTTCATATACAACTCCAAAATTGCCGTAGACTACATGGAACTATGTGCTGCAGTGTATGTAAACCACAAGTGCCACGTTCAGGGTCTCCATCTCCTTTCCACGGCAGTCGGACCCCCAATCATCCTTGGTATCACAGAATGGAATTAGGAGTCGAGCTTGTGTCCGGTGGTCGCACATCACTTCGTCGAACCTGTGTATGCGTATCGAGATATGTATATGTAGAACAGCATCCGGTAGCGATAGTTCCCGGGAATTGGAAATGTGAATGAGTCGTATGTTATGCAGATGGCGGGCAGAATTATTGTTTAATCATACGCTCCAGCAATCAATTTCGATGTCATTTCCGAGCTTGCCCACAACATGTTATTATAGAAGACGAAAGGAAGCCAATGGCGCGTACAAAGGGAGGAGATCCAAATCGAGGAGTGTGTAAACATCTATCTGGTGTAAAGCTTAAGATTGACAGCCCGCAACAGCGAGTTTAGAAAGATTGTCCTGGGGCGTCCTGTTGGCTGTAAGTATGAGCATACTGTGAGCGACCTATGGCGGTCCAGCGCAGGAATCATATTTCGATTCTCAAGCCTGATTTATGTTGAAGCTTGAAGTACTTGCAAAGTTGTTGTAGTTTTTCCCACATTGCAGAAGAAAGATGCTTGTGGATGTTGATCCTGGCTGGCATATTAAAGTATGCCTGTAGCTACAGCGTCTCATAGCATTTTACAGGCCCTTGAGCCCCCAACATAAGCATAGGAAACACAACTTCAATGTTTACCCTTGAGGAAGGTAATAATAAATGAAGCGGTGATTGATTGATTGATTTTCGATTTTGAGAGGCTCAGTACTTGTTCTTTGTGTTCCATAAACCGTCCAAGTGGGAAAGAATAATATTGGCAATTGATATAGATTCATAGAATTAGAGATGACTTCACCAGGCGAGGTTCTCCTTCAAAATCCAGTCAAATTCTCAACTTTTTGCCCAAGACAAAGTATTTCGCCCTTCTCTTCCTTTAGACATGCAACAAACATTGGGAGTAAATTAATAATGATAAACAGAAGTGATTTTGAACTTAATGAGAGTTTAGTGACTTCTGCTTCTAGTAAAGGCTTTCCAGCACTCAAAGAGTGACCTCGAAAGCTCACCGGGGACACCTCAACCATATATAGCTCGAAGCTCAAAGGTAGCCAGCTAGCTTTGCACAAAGATCTTGCTCAGCGGGAACACGTTGAACATTCACAGCTTCGAAATCCAGCAAATTCAAATTCTCACAACTTTTGTTTTAACAAACTCCCTACTCTTCAGATAGACATGCAAACATTCCCACCAACTAAAATATGCTTAGCAAGCTAGCTACTAAGAGCGATGTCTAAATCTATACCCTAGTAAAGTTTCTCATGTTGAGATTAGATCCGAGTAAGAGAGAGCTCTCTATCTATCTAGATAAAAGAATTTCATTACATAGGAGATATATGAAACTTTGAGAGTGATTCTGAGTGAAACATGATTGATTGGTTGATGGAATTAGATGAGTAGATGAGAAGGAAGATATTAGATTAGATTAGATTGAATAGATGGGAGAATTAGTTCACATGAGTGTGCTCTATTCTATTTCGGTCTATCAGAATCTAACGGCATACCATATAATAGCTATCGCATCCTGTTCCATCCAATGCATCTCTTTTTCTCCTTCTTACCCCAAAACCACGTTGATATAATCATTTACATTTCATCATAAACACCACTCCACCCTAGCCTATAAAATTCATAAACTTAGAGTAAGGAATTCATTTTTTCTACCTATTCATCTAAATCATCTTCATATATTAACATCATACCCTTCCTTTCATAAACCCCATTCATTACGCCCATACCAATCCAATTCATACAACCACCTCCCAAAGACAAATCTGCTTCGTAAATTCTGCCAGAAACACAGATAAAAGTGACCGCTACCGCTCAATCATCAGAGGAATTCCAGAAGGAGGAATTCAAATACCTCCCTCTACCTCCATCAGATCTCCCAGCCCCAGCCTATTCCATCCATACTTGCCTAGCAAAAGAAACTAACAAGTTTCTCCTTGAAAGTCAAATTCTCCTCCGCCTCCCAATCAATCACCCCATCTTCCTCTAGTCCCACATTCCCCGTATCCAAGTCCGCCTCCAAACTACTCACAAATTTGGTCTTGCAAACAATCTTATGTCCAACATAACCCAGCACGAACAAGATCAAACTGATATACGCCACGAAGAAATCCTTAACACTGAACACCGGTATCCACGCCGTGAACCCCTGAGTCAAAATAATAAGCACCATGAATACCAATCCATACCATGCAAACCACGGTTGCCAAAGCGCTTTATACGGCAAACGATCGCGACTCACTCCTCGAGCTTTAAGCGCCTTCATAAACGCAATATGACACCCGCAAATACAAGCCCAGGTAATGAATCCAGCGACCGACGATATATTTTGGAGCCATTCGAAAGCGGTGCCGCCTCCAGCACTTTCATTCATGAAAGCGAGGAGACCGAATGCGGAGGAAAAGGCGACGGCGTAGTAGGGAACTCCGGACTTGGAGGTTTTCATAAAGATTCTCGGGGCACAGTGGCCTTCGGCCAGACCGACTAGGATTCGGGAACCGGAATATACGTTTGAGTTTGCAGCGCTCAGAACGACGAAAAGGAGAACGGCGTTGATGAGTCCGGGGAGTGTCTTGATCCCGGCTAATTTCGCGGCAATGACAAAGGGACTAGCGGTTGCGTCGGATCCTCCTGATAATAATTGCTCATTATCGTATGGAACTAACAATCCGATGAAGAAGATGGTTCCGACGAAGAAAAATAGGATTCGGTAAAATGTCTTCCGAATAGCAGCTGGGACGTTCTTTTTGGGGTTTTCGGTTTCTCCTGCTGCAATTCCAACGAGTTCAGTTCCTTGGTATGAAAAACCTGCTTGAATGAGTACAGCCCAGAATCCTACGAATTTGGAGACGGGGTTCTCGGGGTTGATGAGATGGGGTGCGAATGCACCTGGGTGGCCCCAGTTGTGAAATCCGAGATAGCCTTGTTGACCAGCTCCGGCATCGATACAGATACCAAAAATGAGGAACCCGAGCACGGTAACGACTTTAATAAGTGAGAACCAAAATTCAATTTCACCGTAGAAGCTGACGGGGAGAAAATTGACGCCGGTGATGAGGACCCAGAAAACTGAGATGAAGATGCCGATGTTGAGCTGGGGAGCCCAGTATTGTACAATGAGACCTGTGGCTGTGAGTTCGAGGGCGTAGGTCATGGCCCATGAGAACCAGTAAATCCAACCCATGGCAAATCCAAGTGAGGGGTCGACGAATCGTGCTGCGTAAAGAGTGAATGCTCCAGGGATGGGCAGGAAGGTCGCCATTTCTCCTAGAGACATCATGACGCTGTAGACGAGGGTCCCGACGAAGATGTATGCGATGAGAGCACCTGCTGGTCCGGAGGAAGCGATTGCCGATCCGGATCCTATGAAGAGACCTGTGCCTATTGTTCCACCTAGTATACATTATTAGTATCTTCACTCTATACCAACCCAACATCTCTCTCATCATCTCGTGATGAGTAGCGGCGAAAAGGTATGGTAACCCATAGAGACGACGAACCAATAGCAATCATCTGTAAATGTCTACTCTTCAACCTCCTCTGCAGCTCCGGCCCGCTGCCCACCTGAACAGCCTTTTCCGGATCCTGTGACGAATGACCCGAAGCCGAATCTTTTTTGTCGTCTCGCGTGGCCTTGTTTACTGCCTGGATCGTATCCATCTCTGAAAGTGGAGCCATGTTGGCCAATAATGCGCGTGCGCGAGTGTTCCGAGATTTCCAAACGTAATATCTTCCTCCAAGTTCCAAGGTGCGTTTCTTTTCCTCTCACCGGTATTCCTTCCTGCAGCTACCGCGGTATAGTATCGTGTCCTCCTCTCCTCCGATCTAGTAACCCAACAGTGAAGACCGAAACTGAGAACCTCGACGATTTCAAGCTACGTCGAAAGGTTACAGTAACAGACAACCCGTGAAATTCTTCACTATTTCCTCCTAATTTCACCACTGCACGTCCAGTCTACCAACTCTCACACAGTCAGTCGTACAAGTCAAATCAATTCACAAGCAATATATAAAAAATGGTACAAAAAAATATCAACAAGAAAGAGTCATTCATGAACCAAAGAAAAATCTTGACGTTAGAAGGAGGAGGAGTCCATATAATAAATTTCCTCTCCATCCCAAGAAATTTGTGTGAGCTAGTCCATAGCTCATCCATCCTAGCATCTGGTCTTGATCTCCATTCAAACCCATGTTTAACAGATAAGACCTACATTTCTAACTGGTAGCGCTTTAACCCCAACATAATACCACTCTGTCAAAAACCGATTGACCCCGAAAGAATTCATTGATAATCTTTTGGCCCTTTGGGAGGAAGGCCGGTCCCTGCCCTGAGAGCTATTGTATAAATTTCATACTGGATGTGCACCACTTCGCTGAAAATGAAAAATTTGCAGTTGCTTACCGAAACACTTTACTAAACACAGCTAGCTAGATCAAACGAACCTCATGAAAAGTTCACCCATTCATCATTTGGAACACTCAAAACGAGCTGGTATATTTGGCTGGTTCTTTTGATACACACTTTTCTATCAAAAGTTGAGATTTTGATGTATCGTCGGCAAATGGAGCCGGCTAGTGGGGGTCTGTCTATCAGATTCAGACTCTTGTCCGAATATCGCTTCCGATGACATACCATGCCATAAGTATTCATTCATAAGTATTCATTCATATGCCTTCAATATCCAATTCTGCACATTCCCAAATTTGAAAAGCATAACTGTATAACTGTATAAGTGAGAAGTGGGATCAATCATCACTATTTGCATAAACCAACCGTGAAGTTTTTTATTTTTTATTACAGGGGTTAAGACCATCAATAAAGTAGAACAAGAATACGTTTACCGGTAAACGGCATATTCCAACTTTTCCAGCATATCAAATGATGATTTTCCAGCTAAATGTCGGCATGATACAATATGACGATACCGGTACTTCTCTCAAATTTTGAATCTTGAACTTTGAGGGCATCCAGAATCCATAATAATAAAGCAGGTCATCCCAGAACGAAAGCTGACTGTACTCAAATATCCATTACATGTATCTAATTGCAATTACAGTTAAGTGATATCAACAAATATACATTTTCCAATTCATCACGATGAACAACCCCACCCATCCCTCCTTCCATTCCTCCCTCCTCCTCCTCCTTCCAAACAAATTATCTACAAACACACCCTCGTCATATCCATCGCCTCATCGCCTCATCGCGTGCTGCACAAAATTCATTCTCCAAGATTTAATGCACATAATAGATCCACTACTCACACTACTCTACACTACTTCCCATGCACTACTCACAGCCACATCCACATCTTCATCTAATCCACATCCATGAATCATGATGCAGAAACTAAGTCAGCACCTTGACTTAGTGGGGTGGCGCGGCGGATGAATAATACGGTAATAATAATTTCAATTGATTTTCAAAAGTGCAGTACATTGTGACATAACATAGGAAGAAATTGATGTTTATCTTAGTTTCTACAAGAGCGGTGAGAGATCTCAAAAATATTCGCCCATACTTACCCCTTCATCAATGAAGGGGGCAAACATTGAACCTCGGCTAAGCTTATCGCAAAATGTGCATCTTCACGTGATCTCAAGTAAGATAACATCAAGAACTTGACTTGATGAAAACCATTTTCAGTCAGTCTCCTGCTTGGTGACTTGACTTAATGATCAATCATCCAGTCAGTCTCCTGCTTGGTGCTATTGGAATTGCTTGTTTTGCATACGTTTTTACTTATATTGTATTTTTGTTTGTTTGTAAAAGGCGCAATAGCTTGTGTAAGGCGCAATAGGAATGGTCGCGATGGAAATGAAGTGGTATCAAAATAAAATCTATAATCCTCCTGCGCGCATCAACAAGTCAAGTCGCAAGTCGCAATGGCTCCAATAATCCTTTCCCTTGAATCAAAAAAAGTCGCTTTGGCAGACAAGGTCGCATCGGATTTGCATCAAATCATCAATCATGACTTTTTAAAATGATCATAACCCAAACCTCAGGTTTATGATTTGTTGTTCTCCACCTTTTCCTGTCTCGAGTCGCGGTCCAACGAATGTCTGAGAGAGTCTTCGTCGGCGGCTTCGATGACAGGACCGGTGTAGAACTTCTTGCCCGAAACATACCAGTAGATGGTGGAGAATCCTAGGATTAATCCTAAGAAGGCGATGGCGTAGTTCATGTTGAGCGCAGTCACTGGTAGCTCTGTCGGGAGAATGAAGATGATACTGACAAACAAGGTCCAGATACATGCCCACACATTCACGGCAGTACTGAATTTGCCCATGTGCCATGGACCGGGCTCGAACTTGCCAAACATGAGTTTGCAAACGATGGGGATGCAATAACTCCAGTCTAGGGCGATGGCGCATACGTTGAAGACTCCGGAAATAGCAGTGTAGGATCCAAGACCAATGAGGTTGATGGCAATGCAGAGGGCAACAGATATCCAGACAGCTGCAACGGGCGTTCCGGTGATGGGTAAAATTTGTGTCCAGGCTTTGGAGAATGGTACAAGCTTATCACGGGAGAAGGCAAAGACAGTTCGTGCCAATGATTGCTAGATTGATTGTCAGCCCATTTTTGCAAGAGACGAAAAAGTATCTCATAACGTACCATAGCAGTGAAACAAACGAATTCAAGAATGATGAATCCACAAACGGTATAGAAGATACCACCTGCCTTTCCAAGACTATTGTAGAAAAGTTGTGCGACTGGTTGACCGATAGTTGTGCCCAGAATATCGGATGGGTCACCCATACAGAAACAGAGTACGATGTTGAAAAGGAATCCAGCAACATAAGTGAAAAGCATAGCCATGGAGATAGCCCAAGGTGCTTTCTTCTCTGGCTCCGAGATTCTAATTTATTGATTAGCCGAAATGGCTCAAGAAAGGTTCGGACTACTTACTCTTCGGTGATGTGAGCCGTGGCATCATAATCGGTCATAGTCCACGAAACAGAAAGGAAACCGAACAAGAAGCTGAATCCAACAGGGGTCCAACCAGAGGTAGCTTCAACATCGGTGAAAACGTAGGTAGCATTATGTTTGTTCGGGGTCTTGACCAGAAGTGCAATGCAGCACGTTACCAACACAAGAACGTGGAAGATAACGTAGCTCTTTGTCATCTTTTCCATCCAATAAGTAGACATTGAATTGACCAGCCCAGTGAGAACCATAAGAGCTGCCATTACACCGACTGTTGTATTTGCATTGATTGTATAGTTGAAATCTTTTCCAATCGCGACGGCCGCTAGCAGCATTTGAGCTGCACCATATTGGGAGGAGGCAACACCAGCAACCTGTCCAAGCAGATTCAACCACCCAGTAACCCAACTGATAGATGGTACCCAGGTTTGTGGCGCCAGTCGTGAAATCGTAAAGTATAAACCGCCGGATGTAGGATACGCAGAGACTAATTCAGCGACAGAAAGCTAAATTGGAATTAATAAATGCATCAACCAGACCCCTTGGGTTTCCATTGAAAGGAACTCACAGCAATACACATGCAACCAGCACCAGATATCAGCCAACACCAGACGGCCGCAGCAGATCCACCGGACATTATTGGGTATGAAAAAGTAGTCATAATAGTAGCAAATAATCCACTGATGGAAACAGCGAAGGAAAACGTCGAGAGGTATCCAAATTCTCTCTTGAATACAGGTTTGTATCCAAACTGAGCGGCGAGTTGTGCATCGGCATCAGGCCCTTCCTCCATGCCAACAACGTTTCTTCTATGCAATTCTCCTTCGCTGGCATTGTGTTCGAACATCCCACTGGATGAAGTGTTGTGGTCCGCCATATTGACTGTTGTATTATATCTCAAATATATTTGAAGTTATTATCATCTATCAAGTCCGATCCTTCCCAATTCGAATAAAATGATTGAATTCCAAAAGTTGGAGAAAAGTCAAAGGTTGGAGGGAAATCTCTGTATATATGAACATCAGCAACAAAAATTTATATCAGCTTTTGCGGCGTTCCAAATACTTGCATACCAAGATTAATGGATCTTGGCAAACTAAAAAAAATCTTTAGTTCCAAGACAGGCGACGAAAGTAAAATACTTAGAGCCATTCCATTTACGTAACAGTGGGAAAAGATTGATATGCTGGTCTTATCGATCGTACTTCTTTCCTGGGCGCGCAGGGTGCGGTCTGGTGGGAAAAGAAAAGGGCTTTGATACATCAGTTGCTGCTAGGATTCTTGGGAAGAATAGAAGTAAGCGCGAGTCGGCGTGGAGACGCATGGTCGGTCGACTGTAGCACGCGGGCAATTTGCGAGCATCATCTTACATAGGAAACAGGGCATGGGAGAGTGAATTTAGTGAAGGCGCAGAGATAGGCTAAAAAAGGTCAGACCTCGGTGGTACCGTAAGGAGCTTCCTGGTATATCATAAACGACGGATAAGTTATCCAAGTAGATCCAAGCAGGTTTGGGAGATAGCTCTTTCGACTTCTAGAGCTTGAAACTATTTGTATGGCAGTGCATGCGTTGAAGTGAAGGGATATGAAGGGGTAATCGTAGGATACATCGCATACGCTAGCGAGTAATATCCGAATGTAAATGGGAAAATATCATTATAATGGACATCTACATGGGAAACAAATTTGACCAAATCTTTCCAAATTCCAATTGACTTTTTTTGGTCTATTCAGACGGTGAGATGGATGATCGTTTCGCCTGCGTATAGTTTAGCTGAGCATGCTGGTGTTGGTGTGGAGGGGAAAGTTCTGATGTTACAGTGGAATCCCAGTGGAATCCCAGTGGGATTGCAGTGGATCTTCAGTTAGTTAAAGCATTCGTTTCATTGGAAGACTCTTCCTTTCCATTTAATTTTGGTTCGTTCGTTTATCTTTCTACAATACTCGAGTTATGTCAACCAAACCAGGTTCTAGCCACCAGTAATACAGCGATTACGAGGGGGCAGCAGAAGGAACTTTTCCGCCCATGAAATTTTCATCCGTTGTTAGCTTTCTCCCATGAGTGCTCATCTCCCTTTTTTGATTGAGCCTCTTCTTTTTTTCTCATTACACAGTATCACGTCTTAGAAACTGCAAAATGAATCCACTCATATAAATTATTTCTACGGTAGCACGCCGTTACGAGGTTGGCATTATTATTCGGCTCCAGTATCGTGGGTACCTACATGCAGAGTCGTTCTCATCACGAGTATTACTAGAATAGGTATCCCGGTAGTGGATCAAAACGAGAGGGGAGAAACGGACATTTTGCACTAGAAACATCGAAACAATTAGAGACTTCGGACAATCTAGCATAGAATATCTACAGCTTCGGATTTTTCAACCCTTTAGCTTCACATACATTTCATGATATCTAATTCATATCTAGACATTCTTCGTATACTCACCCTAATCTGATTCTGATTCATGAATGGATCCAGCCTTACAACTACCATATCTGAAGCTTCTTTCCGCGTGCGGCGTGCCCCCAGTACCTGAGCATGGACACCAGGCTGGCTGGCGTGTGTGCAGATGTGCAGATAACACCTGCATTATGAAATTGCCGAAGGGCCTATGATTGATACCGATATCGATATCTACCAAATTCCCCTGAGATAGATAGGATAATTGAGATATTGTTCTAGATTCTATCTAATCGAGTAATCGAGGTTGAATTTACTCGAATTGGCATATCTCTCCCTGATAATACAATCTTCACGATTGATGAAGTCGTCATTGTTGATTTCGATATGATATTATTATTATCAATTGAATTACCTATCAAACTCTATACAGTACCGGTATCTCAAATCTTCAAGCGAAGATGGACAGTCTTGTCGTGTGACTGCTTCCTTCCTCATCTTGGAAGACATTCTTATCATTGTCATTATCATTGATAGACTGCGATTCTATTTTCTCCGACCTGCAGACTTCGTTAATCGAACACGGTTATGAAACAAGTCGACCTTAGATAGTCATGCATGATCACGTGGGAAGCACGTGTGCATTGTGGTTCTACTCAGTACAACAGCTCTTTGCCTCAGACAAAAGACGTTGAGTTGCGCTGCGATGACATAGTTAATTATCTACAAGCCGCGCTATTCCAATTGCTGTAGTATATCAAATAATCAATTCACAGCATGTCGGCCATTTTAGGTCAATCCTCCATGGATTAGGTAATTCTAGGCTGTACTTAGTTAGCCTAGCCCTTTTGTTTTATAGGCTTCCTTTGAAGTGATTGTCTATGATAAGCCACTTCACTCCCACTCAGCTAGAGCAATAAACCTGATCCTATTTTGAGAGGAACTAGAGTTCAATACAGTAGCTCTGGGTGACCACTAAAAGTTACAGATAGATACTAATCTTACATTCATCTTCATAATTCGTAGGACAGTAAAATGCCAGAATGGCTTCAGGTGGTTGAACACCTTGTTCAAGGGATATAAATGCACTGGACATGGCAAGTGTCCCACCAGTGGACCATCCTAGTATTACTACTTTGCTACCATCTACCTTCTGTTGAGGACAACTTTTTAGGATAATCGATGGTAGTATACTTCTCGTCCACTCAAACGCATCGCAAACATCAGCCATGGCCCCCTCGCGGAGTTCACTTCGGGTATGAAGCGATAGTCGATTTGGCAGTAGCTGCAAGTGTGATGGCCGAAGGAATTGCTGTGGCACCAAGTATTATTGTTCATGCTGCTGCGTTCGCGGTGCATACCAGTATTGAATTTGGGCGAAGAGCATATATGTCTAAAGAGTAAGTCCCGTCTGACCCACTGATCGTCAAGCTGGGAGGTATGAATCTAATTCTACCCCCTAGGCAAAACAAATGCCTCGATGGAATGAATGAGAAACTATTCAAACCACATGGACTTTATGCTATGCTTATGACTTGGAAGCCAGCTCGGTCCTCGACTCCCCAATCGCTTGTATCCACTGTTGATATGAACACCAAGGTAATCACATCTGTAGCTGCTCGCGAGGTCTCTAGTCGCAGCAGTCTTCATTCCACCAGTGGTAAGACAATTGGACAGTCGCAGATGCCAGAAAGTGCGGAATTAGTCTTTCCATTACTGGAGAAAGCAAATGATGAACAAAAAGAAAATGCAATGAAAAAGGCAGGAGTGTGGTTTGGGGAATGGAGAGACAAGAGGGACACGGCAAAACTTGTATGCTTTGAATCCTTTTATCTCAAGATACCTTTCCGATAACTAGGACCATTATGAATGAAAAGGGGTCTGACATCTCTTAATCTAGGTATCTGAAAATCCTTCAACAACGTTGGCGAAAAACGCCGGTGAACCAGAGGTGCCCTCATCACGCTGGGCCGATCCATCTCATCCCGTCAATCAGGGAGGTATCATTGGAGTCTTGTCTGGTGGTCACCTGGGACGCGCTGCCAGAAAAGACAGAAGGCGAGAGAGGAAAGGGTTACCGAAGGATGAAAAGCCCAAGCCTCACAGGACTGGTATCTTGAGGACCGCGAAGAGAAAGCTTCACGAGGTACGTCTTTCGCTTCTGCAAAAAGTGATGCTTTTGCCTTAAATACTCATGTGCCAATAGGATGTGCTGTATCTCATGATCGTAAATATGCCTTCCGACGAGGAACTGAAGATTGTTGCCAATATGGCAAAGGATAAGAAGGCATAAGTTTCAAAGCGATGTTTTATTTCCAATGCTCTTCCGTCTGGCGTCAAAATACGTACATGAACCTAATGTTACAATTTCAATAGAGCTATGGGTACATTCGCATCGAGTGCATCTACCCATCTCTCAATTTCTTTCACGCAACTCTCTATACTAGAATATTTGCATGCAAATTCCAAGGTCCCTCTTTGTCTTCCCTTGATGAATTTCTTCTTTCCAAGCGGCCACCCTTTCTGCCACCTCCTCGTCATAGAGACGCCTCAATTTTAGCACTTCATTCTTTACCTCTCGGTTGCCATTCACTTCTTTCCGACCTTCTGTATTTGATTGCTGTGCATTGTCGCCACTCAAAAATTGAGGAAATTGGGTTGCCTTCCACAGTGGCATAACCATCGCATTTTCCCATCCCAAAATCCCCGTCAAATTTCCCAACTCATCAATCAGCATATTCCTCATCGATAAGTCGTCGTGAATAAGTACTGTCGAAACTGTTGTTTCAGGAGACAACTGAAGAATCTTAACATGAATCTTTTGAACAAGCCTCTGGAGGTTTTGTGCTTCGATCATTTCTTCCTCATTAGTCGAGTCCCGTAGTGTCGTCGATATTTCTTTCCATATAGGGACTAAAAGAGCTTCCAAATAAGAAGCACTGTCCGGGAATGAACAATATGAGTCCAGGTCACTTATTGAAGATATCGATAGCATTCGGCCAACAAGAGGCCGAGGTTCCCTCGATAGTTGATATGATGTATTGAAATCACCGTATCGAAGATCTGTGACATAACTATTCGTATCCTGTGCGTCGAAAATGTTTCCTATATCGTCAAAACTTGTCGCAAAAAGTTTTGCTTGGCATTTCGCTATACCTTTCACCACATTTTCTTTTTGGTCAAATGTTAGATTGCCCCATTCGTCTTTGAGAGATTTACCCTCCAATTTCCTCGTCAGAATCCATTCGAATCCCAGTCGATTCTTTCTCTCCGCATCCCAAGCAATTACTCTTGGTGCTGGCGCCCCCGATTTCCGTGCAAATTTCATGGTAGCCACCTCACTCAATGTTTCTTCACTCTCCTGTAGAGGATATCTCACGCTCAGAAAGTAAACCCTCTCTTTCTGTTCCTCTCTTCCCCCTTCTAGTCTAATCTTTTGATAAATAATCACCTTATATATTTTCCGGAATGCAGTCCGGGAATCAAAGGATACGATGCAAGGCACGTCAGCTCGTAGACCTAAACGTTCGAGTAAAAGTGTACGTATGCATTCCATTTTGGGCTCGAATGGCCAGCGAGGTACGCCCCATGAAGATAGGTCCCTGGAGAAGGCGGAGAGGGTCATGATTTTGGAAGGGGAGGTTGGAAGTGGAATGGGTGATTGAGCGGGTATGGCGTTGAGCGTGACGGTGGTGTTTACGGATAGTTTCCGAATTTCGCGTCGTTTGGGAAATCGAGGAATTACTTCCAGATTTTGTTGGATTGTCATGATTATGGGTGTATCTCTTGTAGGAGGTAGGAAATGATCGATAAGTTGTGGTTGGTCGGATATAGATTAGACAATGTGTCTGGACTGTACAGTTTGATAAAAAAAAGTGCAAGGAGATCCGAACTAAAAGACAAATTAATTGGATCATTTTCTATTTTTTAGATAGGGCTTCAAGGTCTATATGTTACGGCTCACGACTACTCAGCCTCGCGTTGGTATGGTAGAGGCCTGGTGGGTCGGGTTTCAAGTCAGTACAGCACATGCGCGCGCTACGGGTCCGAAACCATCAATATGGTAGACCTTTGGTGTCATCGGGATCGTGATTAAAGCAATAGGAAAGAAGTAAGATATCAGAAGCGTCGGTAAAGAGGCTGGGATGCGTGATAGGATCGCGGGGTAAAGGGGTGGTTGGGACATTGCGAATTTATCTAGGACTTCTTCGTTTTCGAGATCTCAGTTCGTTCGACCTCATCGAAGAGCCCGAGACATGCATTACTTTACGATTGAAGAATTACAGAAAGAACCATGGATAATCTATTTTCTACACAGTTTTTGGAGTCTTTTCCACCAGCAAACTACGAGACAAGATCCAATATTAACATAATCTTTACAAAAAGAATTGAACTGTTCATACTGGCCCTCCAATAACAAACGTAGCAACTAAATTATGCCTTCCTAAACGACATATATAGTTTACCGAAGAACAATACACCTCAATTTACCGCCGATCCAGCAGCCGAAACAAAACTCTTCTGAACCAGTATCCTCTCCTCGGGATACTTGGGAAACTTCTGAGATTCCAAATCACACGCCCCTCCCGTCACGACCGAAATCGGACCATCCTCATTCCAAGGCGGCTTCTCGGAGTTTGGACTGGGTAAACCGTTGGATTGGGAAGAGGAAGAGTGTCTGCGAAATAATGAACTGCTTTTGCTGCGGATGGAGAATATGGATCGCACGCTGCCGATCATGCTGCCGAGATTGCGGCCCCCGCGAAGAAGAGGCGCGAGAGTGGGGAGACAGGCCGTTATGGTGCTGGCGTAGGCTTCGATGTGTGCCCAGAGGTAGACTTTGTCGTCGAGATCTGGGTGGTGGTGGTGTTAGATTGTGGTTATGGTTATGGCTATGGGGAGTGAAGGATGTATACAGCGAAACGAGTGGATGACTTACTGAGATCAGGTGTGCTTGTTCCGAATAGTTTCTGGGAATAGAAGAGTCTGATGCAAGATGAGATGAGGCAGCTATGGTGGTTAGTAATGACAATGCGTACACCTTTTGAGTGTAACAGTAGGGAATTCTTACAAAGCACCAAGAAGGAAGACGCCAGAAACATAAAGTTTCTTTTCCGTTGGCATGTGTAGTCCCTTAATGACGGGGAAAGGAAGACTTAAAACTGCTAGATCGAGGAAGATATCAACGGCAGCACAGACGATAACGAGATTTGGCACATCAAGATTGTATTGGGTACCAATTAACTCTGGTGATGTGTTCCAATAGGCGGCGACGGGGTGGGCGGAAAAGAGGAAAAGCTGAAGGGCATGCCATTAGTATGTTAATTTTTTTCGTAGCAATACTTAATACTTACGAAAAAGGACAAGACCATGTACAGCGAAATCATGCCTAGCACGGTATTCGCACAGATGTTGAAAGTTCGACTAGTGAAGATACGTTTATAGAAAATCACCACCGATAATTTGATGAGTCCATATACGAAATGACAAATCAAAGCATCCGCAAATTGGATTTCGAAGAATCTCTCGATGTTCGGAAAACTCAGTGTCGACAAGTGAACACCTCGAAGTCCAGTCGTTGCTGCATAGATACACTCAACGCACAATCCGAGTGAGCATACCTGATTGAGGAAAAAAATCGTTAATGAGGTATATGGATAGAATTGGAGAATCGGGATGTACATACCAAGCAAAAGAGAATCAACCAGTCATCAGCTTTTAAGGCTAGCTTACTCCTCTTTCTGGCGTAGAATCTTAAGGAAACAATGATGATTGTAAAGATAGCGAGAATCACATTTGCGACAACGCCGCCAACAGCTACTTCTGGGATCGCCATCACTTGAGAGAAGAAATTTCGATAGCTTCTGTTGGATTTGAAGCTTAAAAATATCACAGATTAGATGTGCAATTCTGCTTCAGAACATATAGTAGGATACGAAGACCACGGAGATATCAATTTCACATATATCAGCGCAGAACCGGTAGTAGCGCCGACGAGCTTTGTACAACATAGCTAAAGGCCCTTGTCGTTCTTCTCGAAGCATAACTGCAGAGATACAGAATCTTGAGGCGAACGAATAGTGGAAATGGCTGAGCTGGATTCTTCTTTAATGGATGCAAGGGCTCGGACTTCACATTTCTATTACATGGTTTGTGTGCACAAAGCATGGAATGAGGCGTTATTCTCTTCATGGTGGTCGGGTAGACACGAGATTATATGTTTTGCCAAGGGGTTTGTGTTACTGGATTAATATACCTCGTACGGTTGCTGGTTGTGAATGTATGAGTTTGATATGTATTTTTATGTTCAGGTTCTGTGATTCACTTCCATCTCACTCTGTGCAATGCATTTAAGCTTCATGATCCTTCATTTATTTTATCACATTACAATCTTCCGAGTCACTCTTCAATCCTCCTCATACTGCACCTCTTTTCCCTCCCCTAAGAACACTCTCAAATGAATCCAATGATATAATATCTACCCCTCTCTTTCGCATGGAACCATAAGCACATTCATGCCATTCTGGCAAATTAATCATTTTTATTTCCCACCCTTCTTCAACGCATCTTTGCATGAACACCAATCTCATCCCGTCTTTATATTCAAATGTTGTGCAATCATTACTTTCCTAGATGAATACGCATTCTCGGATCGCTAACTCTGAACTTCATCTGCACGACAGTTAACACATGTTTTCCTTCCTCATTAATATATATCAACCTTTAAAACGAGAGTCATACGATGGGTGCAGAAAAACAAGAGGGGTAAATTGAGCATCAAAACTGTTAGTACTGTGATGAATTTTGTTGGGAAGTTGAGAGCTCGGGTCGTTACAGCTGCTTACGGGATGTAACTCCCGAATGGAGTGGAATTAGATTACGGGGCCCCGGCTCCTCCCTTTTTCGGGGAATTTTAAAGATTATCATCCCGATTATGAGTTTAATTCCTGGTGTATGGCTTGGCTTATCAAGAAGAGTTGGGCTGACGCCTTTTCGTCGAGGAGGAATGCGAATTTGATTTTGGCATTGGAATATGGAAGTGAGTATTTCAGGTGTATGTTAGTATAATAACTAAGTATTGACAGATGAAAGATATTTGGATGTACTTGGGTAAAGGGTCGAAGGAGATTAGGAGTTCTATTGTTACACACGGGTTAGATTATTGGTCGTACATGTACAACCCCCCAAGACGATAAGAATCTTGAACTTCGTTACACAGTTGACTTTCAACTCATGCTGAGAAATCTGGCCGCACGAGAAACGCACAACGCACATATTCAGCCTAAAGCCTAAAGCCTAGTAGAGAACTCAGTAGACGCCACCCCAGCTCCGAGCATACCCCGTGCCGCTTTCCACAATTGGTGCGGAGGTGCCTGAGAACTACCTACCCGCAAAGAATATTTGGAGAATCGATTTGTCTTTCTATGCTGTAATGTTATCATATCAGTCATCTACGTACAGTATTCCTTGTGTAGTAAAGTTACGGTGTTACACAAGATTCTCTTTCAATTTCTTGGCATCATGTGGTTTCCACTACTCACCAAAACTCCTCTTTACACCCCTCTCACAGCCGAACTCGACGAAGAAGCGAAATTCGAAGAGCACCCCAAGAATCAACCGAGAATATCAAATTGGAATATCCTGCTCCTCCTCACTGCGTCTTTTGCGTCCGGTGCGCTGGGCTTTTTCCTTTCAAAGCTTTTAGATGAATATTCATTCATTCCCGCTTCTGTCGGACCTCAATGTGTGTTACTTCCTCTTATTTTTCCGCCTCGAAGATACAGTGGCGCAAAGCTGATTTCAATTTCATAGTTACTAAAGAACCGAAGAATTTCTCCTATAATCGCGATTTCTCATATCCGCCATCCAACGCCACAGATGCTGCTTGGAATAGACTATTTCCAGGTAAATATGGAGGAGGATTTTTCAATCATCCGGATGTGGAAGGAGAGAGGGCTACGTTGAGTGTTTTGCATCAGTTGCATTGTTTGGTAGGATCTATTTTGCCTGTTGTTTAGTCGTCTTCCCATTGTTCCTCAGCGGTGCCACCTTCTCCTTCCTTTTCGTCTAACACTCTAAATATTGTCGCCATATTTTAGAGTGTCTGTCACTGTCTGGAAGTAAAAAAAACTAATGATGAGAAATAGGATGGAATACGCCACATATACTACCTCAACAACGATGCTGCGACAACAGGGAGATTACTTCTTGAAGAGCAGCTAGAGCCTCATATGCAGAGAAGTCATATGAGGCATTGTATTGATTTTCTCAGGCAGTCGATAATGTGTTGTGGAGATACTAGTATTGAGAAGGTCAATCCAGAATTAAATGTAAGTGGACCAGCTTCACCTTTCCTGTTTGGTTTCTGTAATTGTGTTTCGAGATTGAAAGATAGGGGGAGATGGACGGGGGATGAGAGTTGAGAGTCTTTGCTAATGAAGAATGATTCAGGGTGTAACGGGATGGGGTACTGAGCATATGTGTACGAATTGGGAAGAATTGCACGAGTGGGTTGGGAAGATACAGAGGATGGATATTTAGGCACGAAAGGTGGAGATATGAGATGCTACTGTGTGAATGAGTTAATATGTAGGATAATTTGTTGGAAACTTTATAGAGAAATGAGTGATTTAGGATGAGACCTGTACGATTAATAGATAGGAGGGTAGTAGTAAAGATTGGGCGAAGAACTTGCATGTAGTTCAATTGGTGAATTGTGGTACTAAAAGTTTGGAGGATCATATAAAACTGTATTAATTGACAATGATACCTCGTGTCAAAAGAGTTAAGGATCTTTGTTCCATTCGTACCTTGCTTGCTATATACCACAATTAGACGACGGATTTGCATAGTTACATTGATAGAAAGGAATTCCATAAGCGTCGAAAACTGCATATGAAGGCTCGATGAAATGGAACCATAAGCGTTGAAGGGCCCGCATCAAAACTTTCTGTCACAAATTGTACGTAGTACAAAAAGCGTTGATTGAAATCTATCTATGTTTCATTACAACTGTTGTACACCACATATCCACAATGTAACGGTTTCAAGCTCCATACCCATCATGCAGGTCACTCCAACCTGGGATTGACAAGCGCAGCCATTTCTTCTTCGCTCACAACGCGATCTGCGAGGGACTCCATCAGTGCACTCCAATCCACGCATTGGTGCTCGGTGGCTTTGACGTGTGGTTGCGGTTTTGATAATCTTTCCCATCCAAAGGTTGTAAGGGTTGTGTCGCCTTGACACATTACTGCACTGCGGAGAACATCCAAGCAGTGATCTGATGCATGTGTTAATATCATTTCAGATGAGAGGATAAAAATTAATGATTACCTGCATGTACGTCCCAATGGTCTATCGTTGGATCTGTGATGTTGGGATAATAGTGATCTCGATAGTTCCAGCGCCGAAGCATTTTCTATCAATTTGTTAGTTACTTGTTCCAAGTTGTGATTGAGGCAAGACTTTCTATACAGTGTAGCTGATGATGAGCTCCAATCCAGGCCATATATCCACCGCCTTCTGGTAGAGATATAGACTTTTGATTGCTCTTGTCTAATTCCTCGCTTGTGACTCGTATGTTCATATCTTTCAACAGATCATGCCATGCTTGGTCTACTGAGTCGCTCGGTGGTCCGGCATAAGGTGATGATGGAAGGTCGAGAGGTACAACGGGAATAAATTGAACCTTCAGACCTGTTATGGCTAAGAAGAAAATCATATTAGCAACTGACCATCGTGGTGAGATGATGAAGCGTACGATGAACTGAAGTTGATATGTCTAACGTAGATCGATTTATGGCGAAGATGAAGACGACAGAATACACAGTGATGAGCGAAAGATGCAAGAAGATGAGTCGCCAAGGTACATTTGAATTATCTGATTTACTCATAGGATGTTCATTCTCTTGTCTTTCTTCATCCGATAGAAATGGTTTAAATTCTGATGACATTTTGTTGTGATCGTGGAAATAGGGATGCTGAATATTGACATGAGTGAATATCGATATAAAATTGTAATTCGAGCCAAGAACATTCCATATCGGCGACTGAAGCTTAGCATAATCAGATTGATAATATTGACCTCGAGGCTGCTACCTAAACGGCATCGTATGTCTGTCTAGATGGAAGGCTTCAGTCCTTCGCCCACCTGGCCAATGATATTATTATCGAAAGTCTAACGCCTGATGACATTCCCGCAAATGATGGGGAAATTCTCGATACCGAAAGATCCTCGTCTGACCAAGGATCTACGCGCAAGCAGCTGAAAATGGTACCCAATGAAAGTGATACCGAACCTTCTCTAGGTCGCCGGTTCAATGCAAGGCCGTGAACGCTTCATGCGGAAACGATAAATGTCCGATACTTGTGGAACCAAATCCAATAAAAAAACGATGGGGAAACCGATATGGCTTTTCTTGATAGAGGAAAGATGCTATAAACTGGAAATGGACTCCGATAATCAATATATACGAGTACCATTGTGAGGCAGAACATCATATATAGTACTCGGTGCGGTACTTATGCATGTGGAAGGCAAAGCTTCTGCTCCTTGTCATGATCCAATATTTTGGTAATTTCGGACGAATACATCCCATTATGAGGATAAGCATGAACCTTAAGGCAGAAGTACAAAATGATCGACTGGACCCACGATAATCATCTGCATTCTCCCAGAGATATCGAATACACTTTGAACACGACTGAATCCAAGGAACCTACAGCAAAATGCACGTCACTCTTTTCCAACTCGCAGTCCTAAGTTTTGGACTTTTCGCTATTGCTGCCCCTCTAGGCCACCCTGGTAAGAGTCATAGAGCACTTCACTGATAGGTTTCCCGGCTAATATCGATGCTTGAAGACCTTTCCGCTGTTCGAGCCACAGGTTCGTGAAGAGTCTTTCAACTTTGAAGTATATCTATGCTAAAACTTATCATAGATGGGGATGAGTACGTTAGATGGCCCGATAATGCGGTTGATGAAAGTGGGCTCCTCGTGGCAGCGTATCAAGGGTCAGACAAGGCTTAGAAGTGGGTAGATTGGGGAAGAAATGGAATCATATCGGAGCCGGTCTCACTGAAATTGAGCGATAAGAATCAGAGTCTGACGATGGTGGCTTGGAGATGCTGTACTTTTATAATTCTTTTGGTTTGATGGTGTTACGATGGATGAGGACACGAGATTGCGCTTTTGCTTTCGGCATTCGGCCGCTTACAACAGTGTGCAAGCGAATTAACCAATCACTGCTCGGATCATTTTGTGTATTATCCCACCCGTTGTATTGAATATGGTTGTCCAATCGGCGTTGCCCCTTTTAATGCACTTGTTGAACCGAGAGCCAATAAACGACCTATCAATCACGTGTATTTTATCAAATTGCTGCCCGTTTCCATGACACAAAGTTATAAATATGTAGTCACACAAACAAAATGACTTGTATTTGTTGCAGCTAAGAAGAAGAACTTCTCAAAAGACAAGCGTAGCAAGCACTATCAGCCATGTCACCTCTCATCATCAAAACTCTATTGTTCTTGCCAGTCATCGTCTGTTATCAGCTTTACACTAGATGGAGACTAAGAGCACGAATACCAACAGAATGTCAACCTCCTCCGGAACTGCACCGTATTGATCCCTTCTTGGGGTTGGATCTCTTTCGGGAATCTCTGAAGACACGAAAACAGCGCAAGATATTAGAAACATACGCGAAGCAACATGAGACTTACGGCAAGACATTTCAGGCTCTTCGTCTGGGACGAAACAGAATTTATACGGCACATCCAGAAAATTTGCAAACTATATATGGAACTCATTGGAAAGAATGGGTTACAGGCAGAGCTGATGCCATGGAACCATTTTGCGGTCGAGGATTTGTAACTACAGACGGTGAAGAATGGCGGGATCATCGAACTTTATTTGCTTCAACTTTGACTGAAGCCAATACTGTCAATCTGGACTTGCTCGATAAGGCTTACGGCGAGTATATAGAAGATTTGTTATCGAAAGGGGAGACTGTAGATCTTGCTCCAATTTTTGACGAATTGGTAAGTCACGAACTATTTTCAAGCCATATATCAATTAACCAGCTATAGTTCCTGGATCTATCACTTCAGTTCTTGCTCGGTGAGCGTCTTGCATCGACATACTCCGGGAATTCACCGATGGATATGCATACCTTCAAAGAGGCATTCAACGCCGCACAGGGTTGGATGGGCATACGATTAGCATTTGGAAAATTTGGACGCGGCATCTCTCTCTTTAGTAATAAATGGAAAGAGTCATGTACGATAGTTCATTCGTTTGTGAATCACCATATCAACAATGCGCTTGAGAACTCAGACATTTCAAAGTCAAAAGATTCTGCTTCTAGTCTTCTCGATAACCTAATAATGCGAGGAACGGATTTGGCTGAGATCCGCTCGCAAATTATTCAAGGTATGCTAGTGACACAAGACACGACGGGAATAGTTCTAAGTAACACCATATTTCTTCTATCTCGAGCTCCTAACATATGGTCACGACTTCGAGAAGAAGTTGCCAGTCTCGGTCTAGTTGAGGGTTGGAAAGCAGCGGATCTGAAGAACCTGAAACTTCTTCATAATTGTATTAAAGAATGTAAGTTTGCATTAACTTAATACCACCTGAGATTTTGATCGCTAAGTACGATAGCTCTACGCATTTATCCTCTATTCTACGCAAACAGTCGCGTGGCTACCGCCGATACGACGCTTCCAACAGGCGGTGGCCCCAACGGTACAGCACCAATATTTATTCCAACTGGCACAAGGGTTAGCACAAACTTCTACACACTCCATAGGGAGAAATCGGTATTTGGCGAGGATATCGAATTATTCAATCCCGACCGGTGGAATCATATTTCCCCAAATAATTGGGAGTTCATGCCATTTAGTCACGGTCCACGTAGCTGTGCTGGTCGGCACAAAGCTTTAGGCGAGGCTTCATATATCATTGCCAGAATGGCAGCTCAATTTGAGCGCATAGAAAGTCGTGATGATAGGCCTTGGACCGAAGAATTGAAGTTGGTGGCGAAGAATGGCAATGGCTGTCAGGTAGCGGTGTATTTGGCATGATGAGCAGTTTCATGGTAATTCGAGAATATTTTCCCAAGAAAACCCTTTGAAATGCTTCATGTGAATCACCACGCGTCAGATTCCTAGCACTAAATAGCAATTTTTGGCTTATGAGCGTTTTGCGTGTGTTGGTACATGTGATCTTTCCTAGTGGAGTATCCAACAAGACGGAAGGATAGTTCCTGTCACTGAAGTGAAATTCAGATTGTGCCACGGTACATTAGTATATTGATCCAACTGTTGCATGCAAGAAACCAACTAACTGTTGTATGCCAATCACGAATGAAAATTTATATAGATTACTAGACTATTCTATAAGCCCATCCAACGAGTGTGCTAAATATACGGCAAGTAAGCCCAAATGTTTGCTCTGTGAGCAAAGCCACGAAGTAACAAGTCTGCCCCAATTGACCTCATATACACTCTTCAACAGATGCTGTCTGAATTAATGAATGAAACTTTATCCACTGGTAATGGTGATGTTGGGAGATGGTTTATCGATTAAATTGTACAGTCATGCTCTGTGATAATATCTTTTCAAGTGCGTCTGCATTGGAAAGAAGACTATTTATAGACTTGTGAGAATGTTTACCAGTACTCAGCGATACAACGTGGTGGCATGGGACTGGTCTATATATCATGACTGCCATGGTATTAAATATCTCCGTCAATGTATGATGTGTAATTTAGACTACGTACTTTTCATCCCTTTTTGACAGGACATGAGGATGCAAGTCATGGGGATGCGGATGGTTAAGGCATGCAATAGGGCAGGATTGGATAGGTTAGGAGATTGAGCGGAGCGGTTTCCTGCGAGATATTTTGATAATCTGACAACCTTGCCGAGAACCGATTCGGCGGATCCAGTTGGCAAGTCATTGGAAGGAAGTGGGTTGCCGGTGAGTATCGCCAAACTGTCAACCAACACGAAGCGATTCTATTGACATAACGAAAGATGATTTTGTGCAACGACAAGAAAAACAACAACAAGTTTTCAGACAAAGCCAAAGTATACTACAAAATCCTTACAAATAGAAAACCAACACGAATCTGAACACTCGTCCAAGAGACCTTCAATCTAACCTAAATCCACAAAGTCCCTCCACCCTCGAATCCATTCCCACCTTCCCGGCAAACCCCACGATCTCTTCTGATTAGTACTAGTACTAGTACTACTACTATCACTCGAACTCTCACTCGTACTCTCCGAAAAACTCGTACTCGCATCCGCATCCGCAGCCACCACCTCAGACTCTCCCACACCCCCAGTAACCGCCACACACTGCTCACTCGGCACCCTAATACCACTCGTTAACAACGCGGTACCCGCAGGCAGTAATTCATCTTTGCCGCGAGCCGATGGCACCCGTCCTACATACGCATTGAAATTATAATTTCCACATCCGCAGACCTCTGTTACGTTTCTGTTGCTCGTTTCCTGTAGCACTACATTTCCATTTCGCCACAGACCGAAGGTTTGACTACCTACTCCCATGGGTACGGTGAATAAATTTACGCCTTGTACTGCGTTAAATTGGAAAGCACCGGTGCCAGAAACGACAGTGACGTTTCCGGGGGATTTCAAAAAGGCTGTGACGAATATGGAATCGGATTCGGTTTGCCAGCCGTTGGGTTTACCGTGGAAATATTCACCCGAGAAATTAGATGCGTCGAGCATCGTTGTGTCTGTAGCGTCGCAGTTGAGAGAGAGGGGATTGGGTCGGTACCAGTAGATTATGAGGTCACGATTTATGTATCGAGAAGGAGAGGTAGCGCCGGCGTGGAAGGCGCGGATAAAGGGGGTTGAGAGGGTGAGCCATGCCCCATGACGCCTATCTCCCATTAGTCACGCACTTCAAAACTCAAGATTCGAAACTTACATATCATTCGTCCATTTAGAATTCCCATCATCAGTGTGTGGTGAAGATAGCGGACCCACATAATGACTTTCGCCTACTCAAATCAGCAATCCTTGTACTCAAATAATATCACAAAATCAAGACTCACCATAATCATTCCAACTAACAATCTCTACAAACCTAGCCCCCAACCCCAACAAATCTTGCCATCTCTGTACCCACTGTTCCTCAGCCGGGAAGACCCAATTCTTACTATACGGCACCTCCGGACCATAATGCGTAAAGAACCACGGACTAGCCGGCGCCACATAATCTTTCCCAGCCAACGCATTCATATATGCAACATCACCCTCGCGAACCGTAAGATTAGACGACGCAGTAGGCGCCTGATTAGCACCATTATTAGGCCATCCCATCCAATTAAACGCTGCATCCAATTCTGCAAAATTCGATAATCCAGGACTGAAGTTCGGAGCAAAGAAGATGGGACCCCCTGCTTTAGCTCGCAAATCTGCTACGTTGAGAGCATCGCCTATGAATGTAGATACGAAGACTTTGTTATCGACCGTCAATTGAGCGGTATTATTGGCGTATTTTGCGATTTTGGCGCCCACGGCAGCGGTGGATGTGGTGGGATTCCAGGAATTGAAATCAAAGGAGAGGAACACTTTCATGTGATTGGTAGCTGCCGATGCATAGGCATAGTCGAGTTGAGTGTCGGTAAATTCGTCGTTTCCGATATTGAGAGCGAAGGCATCGATTCCGGCGCGCCGGGCAAGACGCATATCGGCATCGTAGTCGGAAGAGCTGGCGCGATTGCTGACTATGCCGACCTATATATGATTGTTAGATGGTCCTTGTGAATCATGATGGGTGATATAATACCATGAAGTGAGCGAAGACATAACGACTGGGGGAGACTTGATGGCCTCCATGACCAGATGAGGGATCAGCAGTAATCAATTGGATAGAGTTTAGTAGTGTGAAAAGCCATGGAATGGTCCTTAGGAAGAAACTGTTTGCCTGCATAGTGAGGTTCATTAGCTGAAATTTTCAGCTTGGAATTGAAGAAAGTTAGAGTATTCCGTTACAATCGAAAAAGTTCACCTCGAAGAATGGAGTTGTAGAATCGTATGAGGAGGTTTTTGTGGTGAGGGGACTGAGAATGGACAAAGGAATATATTGGCCTCGAGATTTGATTTCTTTGAATTGAAGTACTAGGAACACGAGGCCGTTTCTTTGTCTGAGATGATCCCAAGGAATTCCTGGAAAATTACTTCAAGGTGCCAATTAAGTTAGATCAATCAGTACAACGAAGAATATGAGCTTTCTAATTCTATACATACAGTATTCGGGCAGGATTGCATCTTTCTTCTTCCGATACTTGTGACAATTGATACAACTAGCTCATGCCTAATCCCCATTTTAGATACCAGTAAAGCGCAGCCCTATGGTCTATTATTGACCGGCCGCTAAGGCCAGAAATAGCCTACATCGAGGCTGTTGTTCTTGAACCGATTTACAACTCACCCTATTACCGCGCAACAGTACCCTAAAAGTTGACAATCCAATCCAATATAGCTATGCACATCAAATACTGATAAATTTCAATTTTGATGCTCACAATGGATCAAAATTCTCTCGCTGTTCCACACTTGTGAATGTGCATTATGGAATGAGGGAGCATTCACAATTCCATTAATCATACTAGTTGGACATGGATTGCACTTGCAAATCCACTACCGGTATCTTAAAAACTAATCGTACATTGATTGCACTCGCAAAACAAAACACAAAAAAAAGACGATGAAATACGGGTACCTTCCAACCTCCATACCTCCATACCTCCTGAATACGACCACAACATTACAACACCCAACCCATCTAATCCAATCCAATCCAATCCAATCTATTCCCACCCATAAAAGTCAAATCAGTCTTATAATAAGCTCCAAGCCCCAAGTCCCAATCCCCAAGTCCTAAGCCTTACCCAAAATATCACTCTCGTCTACTCGTCTAATAAATCACCAGAAGAACGAAGAACTTCATTAGCATGTGAAATACCAAGGACGCGGGGTATAAGATCCATAAGCACCATGGAGCTCTCGATTGCATTGATAGTTTCGTATACTAGAATCACTATGATAACAATAATTAATCCTACTTTTTGATATTGATCGATATTAACACCAGAAAAGAACTCTTCTTTTTTGACTATTGTCATTGTCATTATCTGATTCCAAATCCTCACCAACCACACCAACCACAAAAATGCACAAAGTACAACCCCTCATCAATTCAATCCCCGAAAAACTCCAAGCTATTACCTCAATACTAGTAACCGGCTCGTCAATCTCCTATTTCAGCGCCATAAGTCTGGGACGAAAGAGTAGCGATGTGTGTTCTACGATCTATAAAGCTATTGCTATGTACGAAGTAAGATTATGTACCCGTTCTCTTCCATATCCATATTGCCTGTCTCTTCTCCACCCCGTCCCCCTCGCTCCAAGTAATCCCACAAGCAAACTTAGAGCAAAATCAACAACTAATCAAATCCCCTTCCAAAGCAAGGTTTCACACCTACCCAATCCGAAGCGGAGATCCTCCTCGAAGCCATGACAGAAGTAGTAGAGCTGACCGAGAAACAATTATCCTTATTAGCTGCGACGAAACCGGTGTTTGATAAACTATGGATTACCGGTATTCAGCACCCAAATTCTGCCAGCTTGCTTGCTTGATTGATCTCTTAATGTAACTAAACATCTTTAGGAGTGGTGAGGAAAAACACAACAAGTTTAGGGGTCGCAAGCGCCAAACTATCCGAGGTGATGAGTAGGGTTGAGCCGGAATATTTGAGAGAACCTGGTCGGACGTTGGAAGATAGAAGAAAGGTTGCCTTTGAGAAAACTGTAGCTGTGTATGGAAATGGAAATGCACAGAACGGGGAAGATAGAGAGGGTCAGGGTGTTGAATAGTGTAGGATTTGGAGAAAGATGTCACATGTTAGTTGTACCATGACTTCAGTGGTGCTCAGCTTTCCAGTGCACTAGGGGAATGTTTGCTAGCCACCCATTGGAAAGTCGTGGAGTCTTCAGATGGACTTGGTCTGGTTTCGACTACAAATGAGTCTGTCATTTCTATCCTCCTGGTACTCACTCGATGTCCAAAATTTCCTGAGGGACTTCGTGAGGGGTGTGTAATTGCTCTACATCAGCCGAATATACACCCAGCTTTTACGATGAGCATTCGTCCACATATAAATCTCCTGGTCCTGTACCGAACAATTCCGCGTTGTCCATATAGGTGTATGGCTACTTTAGTACAACCCTGTGACAAATGTATCATAGATAAGATAATATCGGATGTTTGTTTTGAGATCGTCCATGTCCTTGGAGTTGTCAATGTCCTGGAATCGTTGCATTCCCCACTCTACTTCCTATTCAAATAGAGTCTCGATTTGTTTGCTTGCGAACGGTGGCGAATTCACGTATCCATGCTGACACCCGAATCCGAAGTTGGTGTATCTGCTTGAGCAGGAAGTAGTGGATGTTTCAGTGTTGGAGCATAGTGAAAATCCCGAGTGCCGTTCAATGGGAGAAAAGGCGAGATATGATATAACCTCGCTGGGAGTTGATTTCGTTGGAAGATCTTCTCGTCGCAAATATCCGAATCAGAAGTCATGATGGCGGTTGTATGGTTGTGAGAGATGCTGTTAGCTTGAAGCTTTGAAAATCGAGACCACGATGAGTATGTGAAACAAAGAGAGTGTGGGTCTGCCTCTAGCATACATCAATATACTGCAACAGCATTGATACCAAAGTTATCACGGCTCAGTGCCCATCGTCGCCCAGATTGAGCATTGCACCACTCTTGCGCAAGCAACACCATGCAATGTCAACGAACGCATCATTTTACAGTGAGCAAGCAGACACCGGTACATCAAGTGATAAATGATAGACGAAGGGTTCGAGGACACATTTTCCAAGAGCTGCAATACAACAACTGTCATGGCGAAGGATTGGAAGTTTGCACGGTTGGCAGTGAAAACTGGGGAAACATTAGTTCGGGTCCGTGTGTCTTCAAGACCCCTGTAGTCTAAACACGTGACTACTCTACATGTGATTTTCGACTCTCATCGCGATTTCTAATCTACATCTCTGTTCGAATATTGATTCGACTTCAATAACTACTGAGGATTGGATTACTCATCGTAAATATCCCATATATCGGTAACCCCAAAGGTATAGTTCTATGGTGCCCGCGAGAGTATCAAGACTCCCGTAGCTGAAAACGCCAGAATATAGCCAGATATGGACTACTGCCATGACTCGATGTGTTGAAAGGAAGATATAGTACAATGTGGAGCCTTATTAAAATAGTGAGACTAATGATAATAAATCTTGTAGAAAAGAGTTAGAGGCCTAGCGTGTGCACCAACCTTACTCCAAGGACTATCTCTTTATGATTGGTCAACCAACCGAGGTCCTCGGAGAGCTATGCTTGTTCTCCGAATAGCAATCAACTATATGATTGGAGTCTGATATTTTTCATATTACGAGATTGTTACATCCGCCTCTTGCGTTACGTTGTACTAAGTTAGTGTTGTAATACCATTTCTTAGAGTAGAAACAGAACTATAACTTAAGTACTAGTAGTACTTGAGCCAAAGTAGTAAAAAGGCCATTTTATATTTCGTTACACTGGTATTAGTCTAAGCTATACTCTAGGAGCTAAAGACATCTAGTTTATTTTTTAAGCGAAGTGAGTACAGTAAACTTGGGCTTGGGTTAGAGTATGCAAATCTCATAAGATTCCGCACCATCTAATTGTACAGTTCTTTTATCTCCTATCTCTCATGAAGCATCATAAAAAAACCCCCCCGTAACACCCATCCCCTCAACCTCAATCCCATTACCCCTCCTTTCCTCTCAATCTATTTCCCAAATGTTCTACCTCAAACAATTCTAGGTATTCTAGAAAAGTCTTCAATATAAACTACGCATGTGGTATGCATGGAATTTTGGAAGTGTTTTACTTCATGAACAATACACAAAGTCAATTTAGTGATTCATTGAATCAAATATCTTCTTTCCAATCAATAAGAACTCACAAATGTCTCTGAAAACATACGCAAAAAGTCTCAAAATCACCCTTCAGTTCAGCTAGCCGTGACTCTTTTGATGTAACCCGCAGTTAACCCGAGATTTTCCGATATGCTGATATGATGCTCGCGACCTTTAACATGTCTCAAGTAGAATCATCCATGAGAAATTCTTAATCCATATACTTTTGCGATGAATGGATCGTAAAGGGCCATTCTTTGATATGTATTGAACAGCTTTCTTAATGGCTGCTTTTCTATAACGCGACCATAGATTCCGTTTGAGTAGGTAGTGAAGTGGGGTGCAAGGTTATCGATCACATAGCAAACAGCCTGTCAAGATGTCAACAGAAGATACACCGTTACTGTGAGTATGAGATCTCCTCCTTCTCCTCTCCTTCTTTCCCTTCTCACTTATTCGTTCCTCAACTCCCAACTAACCTCCACCACAGCTCAGATGGAACATCCCCAGACCCCCTCCCCATCAAATCCACCAAACAAAATGAGGATGCGAATTCAATCGATTCTTACCCCGAGAACCCGGCGTTCGCAAAACGTCTTTTGAGAAAAATTGATTTGAGACTCATGCCTTTGATGTTTATCACTTTCAATTTTAACTATATTGATAAAACGATCTTAAGTAGTGCGGCTGTGTTTGGGTTGGTTGGGGATACGGTATTTTATCTATTCTTCATGTGCTCCTCTTCACATATTTTCTTCCCACCGTCCCCGTTCACTGTCCCCAACCATCGCTAACCCTAATTCAAGCATCTCGTCGGTAACCAATTCAGCTCCATATCAAGCATGTTCTATTTCGGCTATCTATTCTGGGAATACCCTGGTGTTTACCTAATCCAAACACTCCCAGTCGCAAAGTACATTGCAGCCGATATAGTATTATGGGGAGTTATTGTCGCGAGTACAGCGGCTTGTACATCTTTTGAGGGATTGATGGTTGCAAGATTTTTTACAGGAGCGGTGGAGGCGAGTATCAGTCCGGCGTTTTTGTATATTACTTCGATGTGGTACACGAGGGATGAGATGCCCAGTCGGATGGGATTGTGGTGAGTTATGTGATTTTCTGGAGGAGGGTAAGGAATAAGGGATGTGGGGATAACAGGCTGATCTGGTTATAGGTATGCGGGGAATTCTTTTGGAGGTGCGATTGCTAGTTTGCTTTCTTTTGCGATTGGGCAGATTCATTCTTCTTTGAAACCTTGGAAATGGTTGTATATCGTGAGTATTTTATTGGAACCTTTCCGATCAATGCTAACGCAGCATAAGATTTTCGGATCAGCAACAACGATATGGGGCTTTGTTGTTCTCACTCTTCTTCCAGATAGTATATCCAGTGCAAAATTCCTTACTCCTGAAGAAAGGAAGTGTGCCGAGGAGAGAGTTCTCACGGCAGGAACTGGGGTTACTATGTCCATCAAGAATGAGTGGAAAGGCGAACAAGTTATTGAGTGTCTACTTGATCCTAAGACTTGGTTTTGCTTCTTTATTTCTTTATTTACCATGGTATGTGACCAATCTACCTTGTCACGGTAGGTAATCGCTAACCCGACCCCAGATTCCCAACGGCGGAACAACCAGTTTCGCAAACCTCGTCATAACCGGCTTCGGCTTCACCGGCCTCCAATCCACGCTCGTTAGCCTCCCCTCCTCCCTAATTTCCTTCCTCACCATCCTCACCACCGGCTACCTCGCCTCCACCTACCGCAACATCATCACGCTGCTCATCCCCACCATGCTCCTCTTCCCAATCCTCGGTTCCGCCCTCATGAACTGGGCTCCCCTCGATTCCTTAAAACTGACCGGTTTCTACAGCATCGGTTTCGCTCATGGTACTATTCCTCTAACTATGAGTCTTATCGGTGCAAATACAAGAGGCACGACGAAAAAAATGACAATGAGTGCTTGTATGTTTGTGGCATATTGTGTGGGGAATATGTTGGGGCCGCAGTTATTTTTGGAGAGTGAGGCGCCGTATTATAGCACGGCTTTTGTGGCGATATTGGGGTTTTATTGTGCGGCGGCTTGTACGGCGGTGGGGTTGAGGGTTTATTTGGTGGGGGTTAATGGGAGGAGGGAGAGGGAGGAGAGTATTGCGGGTGTTGCAGGTGGAGTTGTGGAGGGTGTGGAGGTAGAGGTGGGGATGGGGATGGGAGAGGACATTACGGATTTGAATACGAGGGGGTTTAGATATAGATTATAGAGTGAGTTAGAGGTGATTTGAATTTGTTGGGCTTTATTTTGTAGACGTATTTAGATACCCTAGATGATTAGATATATTAACATGTTATCAAACCCGATCCCAATAATTGGATAACTTACCTACCGGTATCTACTAACAGAAACACGAAAAATACTCGGGGTGTTTATATCTATATACTCTACAGCTTATAATTCCTATGCTGCTGCCAATGCTGCTGCCATGCAAGCTAATATCAAATATGAAATCAATAATCGGTAATCGTCTTTATAGTTTAGGCGAAGTAGATGGATATACTTTAGTATAGTATGGCAAAGTAGTCTTGGGCGTAATGTTAGCGTGACAGTTGAGGCGAGGTTGGAGTGATGAAAGAAATACCGTATTGGGGAGCTCGGATATAGGAGAATTGATAAAGGGGATACACGCTTTTTCACATTGGTTTATTGTGGCTATTACGTATTGGTACTTTGGTATCTGGGGCTGGAGGAGGGGTAGAGCGCTGTCGGCTGTATCGAATCACGTGATGAAATCATGCATGATAAATAGCGGATTATTTCTTCTCAACGACTATTAGAGAATGTTTAATCATGAGACGTTTTCTACAATCCTTCCATTTGTTCAGTCGTTCTACACGCGACCATAAGACCACTCCGGGATAAATCAATGAGAGGAGAACATATTGGTGTGCCTACCACACAGTCCACTTTCATCTGCAGTGTAAACAACAGGGCGGAAATGAACATTGCCATAAATTTCAATTGGATCACTCGTGGTAACGCGTGCGCTCCACGCTATCATTGGATGCCAAGATTTCAGAGGCCGACAATGACAAAGCGATGTGCATCATTTGAGGATCCTGTCACGAGAGGTGGAAAGATATATACCTTGTGAAAATATCCATTTCTGATTGTCGATCTTCTATTAAGATCTCAATAGTGTCGTTACGATTTACTCTAAAGCATGTCACGTTTCAGTAGTCACTATCGAACAATACGCACGGCTGAACATCAGAGACACTAGCTACTAGATTGACAAGTATCCGTGACAAACTTACCACGTCAATATGCGCAACAAAGATAAAATTGTATTGGTACCTCATCCAAGTGATGACCCTCGAGATCCATTGGTACGTGTTTCCATCCTATTATTCAAATATCAAGATTTTAACAGTGATTGCTAGAATTGGCCGATGAGAAAAAAGGCACCAATTGTAGCCGCCTTATGTCTTGCAACATTCGCCGGTCTTGCTAGTTGTCTTGCCGGCCAATTAATACCGGCACCACAAGCCAAGTTGTATGGGGTTGAGATTACTAAATTGGCTTTTCAGGTATGTACGGTACATATACGAGGGTTAGCTGCAGCTGAATGAAAATTCAATTGACATGCACGTACGTAGACATCATGTTCCAATGCCGGCATGATAGTAGGATCTTTAATACTCTTTCCACTATCTCATAAACTCGGTCGTTCCTCAGTAATCTTATGCTCTACGGTTGGAGTCTTCGTCACACAAGTATGGGCAGCAAGCATGACGCATTCCACACAATACGCTCCGTTTATGGCTTCCAGAGGCATGGCCGGATTCTTTGGAATTATAGCCGGTATCCTTGGTCCACGTGTACTTTTTGATCTCTTCTTCTTACACCAGCGAGGCCGTGTCTTTACTTACTTTTACTGGGCTCTCGATTTTGGCACAGTTGTTGGTCCAACAGTTTCTGCATTCATATCAACAGCCGGGAATGGGTCATAGACTTATGCTTTTTGGTGGACAGCAGGGCTTGCAGCTTTGGCTGCAATTATGGTCTTTCTGTTTGTGTATGAAACTTCTTGGGATCGATCGGAGGGGAGTGATAATTCCGCGATCGCGACGCCAGATGGATTTGTTGCGAGTAAAATTGCGACATTTTTCCCGGGGACAAAAGTCACGAAACCGGTCAGTGCGATACAAGTCTATAGGATTGCAGCCAATCCATTTTTGGTCATGGCTAGTCCGCCAATGATATTGTTGGCTATCTTCACACTCATCAGTTTTGGATTCTATATTGCTATGAATGCGATTACACCTGTATGGTTGCAGAAACCTGTGAAACTGGGAGGGTATGGATTTACTTCCAAGCAAAATGCTTTGTGTTTGTCTCCCCTCGCCTTCCATCACTGACTACAAGTGCATCATATTCTGATAATGACTAATTTCCCTGGGTCACTGGGCAGGAATTCTAATAACCCTAACATATGGCCACTTCGTCAGCGATCGTCTTCCCCTCTGGATCTGTTCCCGCAACCACGGTATCTGGAAACCCGAATATCGCCTCTACCCCCTCATCCTACCCGCCTTAATCTCCAACCCTATCGGTCTAGGTCTTTTTGGCGCCGCCCTCCAAAATCATTGGAACTGGGGATTTCTCATATGGGCCCAGATAATAGTAACTTTCGGATCCCTCTCCATAACTCCAATAACAGTCAACTACGCTTGCGAACTGTTCACCAAAGTACCTGCCGAGACCGCCATTGTGATGAATAACTATAGAGTGGGTTTTGGCTTATCAGTAGCGTTCTACATTACATCCTGGGTGAAGAAGCTAGGCTTCAGATGGACGTATGGATTGATGGCATTTTTACAGGTGGCGAGCTTTGGGTTCGTGGTGTTGTTGATGTGGAAGGGGCATGAGATTGACAGTGTAAAGTAGGGGGGCTTGGGAGTGATGAAGAGGGGGAATGTGTGTTGAAAAAGGCAAGCACTGTAAGTGCGCGCAGTGTGAGGAATGAACGTCAGGTTTTTGAGGACGAGAAGGAGGTTCATGAAGTTTGACGGCATATATTGAGTCCAGAATCTGTGTTCTCACAAGCCGTGGTTTGGCTGCCGCGGCATTACTGCAAAGCGCTTCTCTCAGGGCCACGGGGTGGATCTTCACAAGTCGCATTAATGATAGAAGGAACAAAGATGTTGCTTTCTTTTATGTCAATGCATGCTCTAGCGCCATTACTTAACTTCAAGGTAAGCACTACTTCGGTTCAAAAACTCCCCATTTTCTATTTTCTCATGTCTTTTCCCCCCGATTTTCATTTCTTTCAATCCCTTTCTGCATTATCAAAATCCCTGAAGTCCAGAGCGAAACTCTCTGAACACTAAGACGACGATGAAACTCCCGTCCTTGCTCGCACTCATTCTTTTTGTTTATCATCTGATCCGTCGAACAGTTTGTTGAACTTTCATACCATATAGTAGCGCTTCTCTTCCCAAGATCCAAATGCTGTCAGCCTCCATAGCAAGTCTTGGAGGTCCCACGCATTCATATGGCGATCGAGAATTTTATCGTAAGCGTGTAAGTACATGCGCAGGATACAGAAGAATGAAATCGAGCATAATATTGCCATAGTCTCGAATGGTAGGACTCTGTTGTAGTCCGATATGTCTTCGTATAAATAGTCTTCTTCGTCTAAATCGTCATCATGCAAAGCAAATCTAGATCTGGAAAAGTCCTTCAAAAGTACAGTGGTAGTACGACTTGAAAATGAAGAGAAAATTTCTTTGGGAGCATCAAAGCCACGGTTACAACAAATATCTGACAGTTCATCGTAACGCGCAGCAACCATATCAAAAAATCGAGGATTGTGAGAGAAAAAGGAGGATGGCAGAAAATGGATGTTCCAGGTCTCGGAGTCAAAGATCTTCTCCAAGCTAGTCGGTAGGAGAGAAGGAGCGCCAACTTTCAAAGCAGCGTAGCACTGTAGCGGACTTTCCGCCAATCGGACATGATGATGAATCGAGTTCATTTGAGAAGAGGCTAAGAGGTATGATCGACCCGAAAGCACACTACTCCACTCGTTCTGATTGCAAATGAAAACGCCAGACTGATTGGGAAGCGTAGGATGGAAACTCGAGTATATTGGATGATCGGGCAAGATAAATCGACCAAGCGTATTTGCGCCATTTGCCAAAATATCAAAAGTACCTAAAAGTACGCAACGGAATGGATCATCCACGTCAAGTTTTCCACTGGGTGTATTTCTGAGACGGAGTACGGCATCGTTATCGGTCGCGCTCTAACCAGGAATGTCGAGAATGTCATATGTGCCCACTATCGTAGGCATCGAACTGACAGATAGAATTATTAATCCATCAATCGCACCGGCGTCACGTAAAGAAGTGGCGAGCTCACACTTCTGACGGGCATCTAATGCAAGGTCTTCAGAGCTGGGCATGTCGATGAAAACTAAATCGTACTTTTCTTTGTCGAATGTATACTTTCCAGCAGGAGAATAGGCAAACCATTCCTGGTCGTTTTCGTAGTCGTTGTAGGTATATGTTTCACGACGTCTTGAGAACGACACCTCAATTGCTTGTTTCCGCAAGGCAGAAAAAATAGCAGCAGAACCATCGCTACCGATCACGAGAGCTTTTGACACACCATGGATTGATTTGCCGGATAGAAGCACCCGAGTGATCGCATCGCATCTTTCTTCGGAACATGAACTGACATTGGGGTATGAATCGAAAAGGGGGGAGTCGGGACAGGTAGCTCGATATGCTTCTTCATCGATGGGCGAAATATTTGCGCATTGAGCATTGGTAGCGATTTCCATAAGCGCGGTCTTTTCCTCTACGCGTTCCCGTCTAGGAGCAGGTATATCGATCGCCACGCAATACGTCGCCAAATCGATGAAGCGATGTAAATCATTAGGGGGAGGGCCAGGGCGTAAGAACTTGGCTACCTCTTCTTCAACAACAAAAGAGGTATCAAGAGAAACCAACGGACCGTCACCAAATCTGATAGCGATTTGAACCGGCAATCTCGCATTACAGATGTGATGGCTCTCGCCAAGCATGAATCTTTGAAGGGCTACACAAAGTGAGTTGGCTATGAAGATTCCCTCGTTCCCCACTTCTACGTAGTTGGTATAGGCGTCAAGACTCCTATTGGCGAATGCTCGTATCAGTCCTGGGGGGTTGGCCCGAGGATGCGTAGGTGTTTTCGAAAAGAGGACGGTAAATTTGTAGGACCATCCGCCATCCAGAGTGTTCACGACCACTATGCATGTTTTTGCATCGCTGGGTATGCGGGGCTCACCACGATACTCGGGCGCTACGGTGAGGACTACTGTGGATCTCATTGTGCTTCGTAATGGTGGGATTAGATGATTTGTTTCTGGATATAACCGTGCTGGTATTTTTGACTGGATGGAGGTCGGTTAATATACTATACCCCACCTCTCTGGAAGTATCCAGAATTATTCACACTTCAAAGAAGCCATTATTTCGGGATATGATTTTTGTTCAATATTCAGAGTAAGAATGGAGTATCATTTCATTCATGTGGATTTCATTGTTGAGGTACATAAGATATAGCTGATAATTTGTTACTGGTGTGGAAGTATATAACAGTTCTCATGCAAGCACCTTTCATCTAGTAACAAAGGTCAGCACAGAAGCAACTTGAATTTTATTCTAGACAGAAGTCTAGGCATTCTGTTGCTTTGCTTTGCTTGCAAAAGTCCAAGAGTTTTTGAGCTTCATAAGCTTATTGATTAGAATATCATCAGCAACTTGATTTGATGTGGAAGACATGCAATAGATATGTTTGGAGTTTATTGTCTACAATCTTTAAGGTGTTATTTTCTTTTGGTTTGATCAAAGATCATTACAGTATATCAAAATCATTATATAAGAAATCTTTCTTTATATTGTTACTATCAGGTATTCTTGGTATGGTTATAGTATTCAATGAATGAAAGAGATGGATGGTTTTGTAATCAAGGTTTGGAAACTGAATATGATTATATTGATGGATGTGTTTACTAGTATAGCATCCAATAAGTGTAATTATCATTCCCGCTAATCAGCTTATACTACTTACTATACAGATATTTGAATGATATAGATCTATTTATTTTTCGCCAAGCTACATACCTTAATGACTCGGAGTTTAGGGGCTCTAATATAAGGTATATAAGAGTATATTGGTTCATTATTTAGATTCTATTCTCATATTCACTTTCGACGGGGTGAATTATTGACTTGGTGAAAAATCTGCAAGATTTGGCGTTTGATGTAAGTCTCGAATATATTCCAAAATTTTGATCATCGTCACCTATAGTATCAGAAGATAGTGGTTCAAAGTTTGTTGTTATTTCGAATATTTCTAAAAAGGTTACTCCTATCTAGCAAAGCGTAAGATTCTTTTGTTCAATCTCTAATAATAGATTATAATATTTAATATTCCTAGCTCGTAATTTAAGATCAGAGTTATAAGTTCTATGCTTTGGTTTGGTATTTTGATACTATATATACTTGTATAGTTCTGATCATAGTTGTTCAGAGCTTCCCTCAGATAATCGCCGTATATACCCAGGCCGTTGAGATCGATCATGTTGTCCTGTACAAATTTTTGATCTTTATTGACGAAAGAGGGAATTGCCAGTGGTGCATTTCCGTCTGGTCTGATTTTCAATCTGACTTCAGAGCCACGGCGTAAAACTTTTCTGTCTGCAACGAATCTCATGGTTTCGGGTTCTCGTCCTTCTTGTAAGGCTGCGTTTCTTTCGGAAGGACTCGGATGCAGGTTATCGGATGATGGTATTGAGAGTTTGTACCTGATTCAAACTATTAGTACGGCTGTTATTTGAAGATATTGGCATGTTTATAGAAATTTCGTGAATGTTCGGCTGAGATACTAAAATTGGCTACTGTTCCCATTATCCATGTACTCTTTCTTACCTAGGGCCTTTCAAGTTGGGACGTTGAGTGGAAAATCTCCGAGTGTCTAATCGAAGGTTCAACATTTAAGATCGGTGTGGTTCAAGTTATTGAATAATAACATCGCATTATTCGCTTACTTTTTGGACTTGAAAATGAGTTCTCGGTTTAGATTATTGAAATAATAAGTAGTATTTTCTATAGTCTTTAATACTGGTAACACCGTTACAGTTATACTCAGCGAAGACATCGGACAATAGTGATCGAATTAAAACGTCCATCCTCGATATTCAAAGTCATCGCATCTAATCTACCTAGGCTGCGCAACGGGTACCCGCGGGGCGGATTATTGGCCTGGCGGGTCCCCCGCGGGTCCTCCGTTTGCGGGGCGGATAATAGAAAAATCTGAATGGGGACCCGTTGGGTATCCGCTGCAAATACTCCGCAAATACTCCGCAGATATAAACTTTATAATATTAGTATAATATTAGTATAATTATAAAAATATATTAGTTTTTATATTAATCTTTATATTAATTACATTAATATTATAAAAATTAATAAATTTGCAGAGTATTTGCGGAGGATTTGCAGAGTATTTGCGGGGCGGATAATTTTGAAAGCTCAACGGGTCCCCCGCGGGGCGGAGTATCTGCGGGTCCCCACGGGTAGCGGAGTATTTCTGCGCAGCCTAAATCTACCTGAGTATACAGACCACGAGTTCAAGAACAATCCACTTTTATATAAGAAATCATACTACAATTGCCTTTCAAGGTTAGATGATAGTACAATAAAACTAATATGGATGCAAAATATCCAAGCTATTTTTAACTGATATTCTCGGGATTGCAAACCAAATCTCGTAAATATGCGAATTATATCACAACAATTAGTATAACCTCCTTGAAGATATTAGAGAATAGTAATCAAATACATCTCTGTATTGTGAACAATTAAAAACTGTTTATCTGATGATTTTGAGATCTAAATCCTTAACTTGAAGAATAGCCGAGCTCACTCTATATATCCAAGATATCTTCACGAGAGAGAAACGATGACACCTCTATAATGCTTGCCTGAACTTGGAATACTCAAAGGTTTTTTATCCAGGCTTGTTGAGATGGGAGATTCAAGTCTCGAGAATGTCGATATTCTTTTACGACTTTTGGTGTTACACCACCCCAGAAGCAGGACGATAGTCCTTAGATGTTTGCAACAATTACGAACATTCAGTCAATTCCCGTCTAATGCTCCTCAAATACCAAACAAGCATCCTCTAAATTTCGTATAGAAAGTAACAAATAAACATATTGTTGTTTAAAACATCAGACGATAGTTGTTCAATATATACCTGGGTTTTGAATATCCAACAGATTCCACCCCATATTTTCAATATGCCAAATTACCTATCTGAGATTGTGAATCTCCATCTTCAATAATAAAACTACCAAGACTAAAAGATTAGACGATAGCACTTGTAAAATACTTGTAGCAATAAACATTCAAAATACTCTCGTCTGATCATTTTTATGAATGAAAGAGGTCAAAATAATCAATGAAGGTTCATTCTATGGCCTATAGTTATAGGCCCCATGTCTGAAATTATAGCGCTTAAGCCTGTAAGTCCAGGCTATATAGCCTATAATTACAGGGCTATACGCTATATTTATAGGCTAATTTTATCAAATGTTCATCAAAAAGACCTTCATTTTGATGAAGAATGAAGGTATTTTGACCTCAAAATGACAACATTTTAGGTCATTTTCTCTAAGTCAGCTCGTTTTAGGCGTTCATTTTCATCAATTTTGCTTCATTTTGATGAACATTCTAGATAAAATTTCGAGTAATTTTCTCTAAGTCAAGCGTTTTTGGCTTCATTTGATGAACATTTTTAGGGCCAATTGAGGGTAAATCTCTCCAAGTCAGGTAATCTTGCGTCAATTTGAGGTAGTTTTTGTCTAAGTCAACTGTTTGAGCTTCAGTTCAAGCAGATATTCATCAAATTGAGTTATATTTTCGGGTTTCCTCTCTGATTCCTCTCAAAATCAAACCAAATCTCTCTACTAAGTAGGCTCTTTTCTACTCACTTCACTTCATCAACATCGACTATTTTGATGCCAGTGCTTTTCTCTAAGTCAAGCTTTTAACACTTATTTAACTTCATTAACATCATATAATTGCGGTCAAAGCTTGAGTTAATTGGCCCCAGGCAAGCTACATCTAATAGATCTAACTATTTCCTACCCAAAGATACTTTAAAAGTATCAAATTACTCTAGACTACCCAGAATCAACCTTAGATCCACCCAATTACCCGTCAATACTGTCTAATTCCGCGTCAACGCTCTCTAGTACTTCAATGCATCTCTTCTTAGCTCCCACAAACCAACCCAAACGTCATCAGCTAGAGGAGGAGTAGTACTAGGATTAGCCTTCAAGTGGCCACCCCCCTGAACCTCAACCAAAAACGCCTCCATAGCTCTCTCCGACAAGCCATAATGACGTAATCTAGCATCAGCACCAGCAATTTTGACCCGATTGAATATATCGACTAACATATCCGGATGGAAATCCTCGCCATCATCTTCCGAATTGGGATGCAATCGACGAAGAGTAGTATCAGCAAGATATCTACGAAGAGGCGAGCCCTTGGGTGTCTTATCATACGCTGCTCGGGAGATTTCGGCTGGAACCCCTTGTAAAGGAGTGAAGAAACGCAGGGACTCGATGGCGAGGATGGCCGCGTTTTGTAGTGTGGGCATCAATACCTTGTCGGCGAGAAACCAGAGGTCGATGAGCTTGGTGGTGTGCTCAAAGGCTAATTCTTGCGACTTCTTGACATAGACATTTAGCTGATCGCTCTGGAGAGTGCTTAGTCCAACACCGGCAGGTAGATTCTTCCGATCCTCGAGTTCGAAGGTGGCAATAGTCTTTAGGTCTTTGGCGTAGACCCATTGGACCAGCAACGCAAAGATCTCGCGGTTAGATTCGGCGAAATGGAGCGTTTGGGTGCTGGATTCCGCAAAGCCGGAGTTGAAGACGGCGTCGAAGTAGGGGGAGAGGTGGGTGAAGAAGGCTTTGTGGAGGTTGAAGGGGGGGCCTTCTATTTCGCCGCTTTCGCCTTTGATGTAGATGGTTATCATGTCCATGGATACATCACTGTTATATAGAAGTTAATACTGAGCTATATGGTGATGATTAGATTGATAATTAAGGAGAAGGTAATACATACAACCATGTAGGACCTTGACTATGATCAGCCGCAGCCAGATCGAGACGGCTCATAGCTCTAGCGGATTGATCGGCAGGGCTAAGACCAGTAGAGGTACCTTGAAGAAGAGGACCGGCAGCAAGACTCGTGTAATTCGGGTGGGTGGCCATCGGTTGATTAGGTATTGCTCTATGAGTTGGTGGTGGTGGTGGTACTGACATGTTACCGGTGAGATAATCACGAATAACTAAAGCATACGATCGATAAGGTCCCATTTGGACGGGTAAGCCTCCATAAACGCCATATTGGAGGTTGGTGGAGAAGAAGCCGCCATTACGAGCTGCGACGTTAGGAACAGCGTTACCAAGGTTGTTAGGATTGATAGGGTTGTTAGCCTGTTGCCAATTAGGAATGTTGGCGTTCATGGTTGCCTATTGAGTCTATTCTTCTTGGAACTGTTATGTAGTTGTCGTGTTAGATCGTATTGGTGTAAAGACAGAACCTAATCGCGCAGAAATTGCCTCCAAAAGTATGTTAGCTGAGTTAACAGGGGCTAAAGAATGGATTAGATTTACTTACAAGCTACTCAAGTGAGTAACAGTAGGAATAGAGGTACTATTTGAGTGTGTGGTAGAGTAATTCGAGAAAGAATCGCGGAAGAACGATCTAGGAGAACGAACTTGAAGTTAGCAGCGCCAACGAGGTGAAAATAAGGTAGTTTAAGAGATATTCTTGTGCTTACCAGGGACTGTACAGTCTCAACTGCGTGATAGCTGTAGTAGACGTTGTTGATGGAACAAAAGCTTGTGAAACGGTACAGAAATTGAAAGAAGCCTCCAGATTACAAAGTCGCAGAATCAAAATACCTCCAGAAAGCTCTCCAGAAGGGCTTTTCTATTGATTTCTCGAAAGAGATCGATAGTCTAGAGTATAGCGAAGCTTTGTATGTAGATATTTCTGTGTAAAAAGGATGGGTTGAATAAGTTATTCACAAAAGAGTAATATTCAAAGAGTTGTATAAAGCTTGAATGAAGTGGTAAGATCATCAAGAGTTGAAGACTTAAATCGAATCATGTACTGCCATAAACCTAAGGCTATGCACTCGGTGAATTCATGAACATATACCAATCGGTGTTATCAGTGTTAATACCGAAATGAAGCTACCTATTCTGTCTCTCGTCTGATCCCCTCATCCTTTGGCCTGCCTCGAGGCTGACAAATTTGTTCTTCTGTAGAGACTTCTTTCATCTTCTTAGAAAAAGGTGTATCAGTAAGTTTAATCTCTATGAACATACAGAATGCCTTTCTTTACTAACTACTGGGATGCAACAGCTACTCCTACAAGCGAAAGCCCCCCTCAGGAACCCCTTTTCGTTTCCGAAACCTTTTCGGCTTGATCATCTCTCGATCACAGTCTCCAAGGTCGTTTTGAGAGTTTCAACATATAGCTACAACATAGCCCTTCGATCTCGCATAGTTCTTCGCCCATGGATATGTCTTCGGCAGTGGAAGGGACACTTAGATACTCTCGGATGTCCTCAAAGCTTGTGTTGAGAGACTGCGAAGCTCTGCTTGTCCGGTTACGAAGAGATTTTCGGAAAATTGGCGAAGCATTTGGCGGAGCTTGCTAAACCCATGGGTGAGTCAATAGACCTGCTCACAGAACTCGCATAGCCGAACACAACCAATACAATACAATGAGCCCCTGTGGTATCCGAAAGCATCTTTGGCGAGGTTTTGAAGTCCAGAAACTAGGATAGTCTGCAATGAACCCAGATCCATAGGACACTCTATAGTAGCCTTCAAATGTCCTTTGTATCTTCCCACTCCGCACCTTCGCCTCCTTTGATCTACTTTTGGTCCAACTCGCTTGTGCTAGCACCGCGAAGCTCTTCTGTGCAGATGTACGCAACTCCGGAATGCTTTCTTGGATGTGTAGTAAGAGTAGATAGATTGAGTTCCGTTCTCAATTAAGTCTGAACTGTTGAATGCAGATTCGAAGTAAGGTGAGTAATGACAGACTAACGCCTGTTGGACATAGAATGACGCTTCCAGACTCTCTTATTCATCGGTCCCATTGAAAATTCGAATCTAGACGATCTCATTCTGTGGATCTAAACAATATTGTATTAGCTTCACATTTCTGGAGCCAAATCGCCATGTCTCTTAGCTTACCTCATATTAGGAGCAGTATAATCCCGCAGGACTCCTTCGAAACACACGGTATGCATATACATTTCCGATAGATGGGCGCTTTCATGCTATCTCGTCACCGTAACAAGGATATTCATATTATCTTCGCAGTCCCGGGTACTCTTCAATGTCTTTCACGACTTTCTTCTTCGCATATCGAAATACAGCTACTTGCAACTCGGCAGACCTTATTAGACGAGGCCTATCTAGCGACATGACAACAGTCTGCCAAATATCGAGTGATCACCCTTCGTCCTGCTATTATAATGTTCCAATGTTTGGATTTACAAATGCGGTAGAAAGTTACTTCAACACTGTGCTTAGGTATATGTGACCAGCTTATTTGAGTATATGTATATAAATCTTGTGGAAGAGGATCGTTCCTCTATCATGGAGTCGATTGATGATTGAGATATCTGGTATTATCGTCTGTCTGCGTTTATGGTGAAAAGATCTGACATAGAACAACCAAGAGGACGGATACCTCTTTCAAATCCTGCTCTTGTGCGAAAATTTCTCCCAAAGAATCATCTAGCAGATCAATATCCATAAGTATAGCACAATATCATCTCTTTCGACGCTATTCCATTGCATGATTTGTGATCATCATTTCTTCTGGTGCTCTCTTTAATAGATCACTGTGAGGATGTTGCCCACATAGTAGAATAATATGAACGTGTACCCCAGTAACATGATTTTAAGCAAAAGAATTATTCCTGCAGCAAGTGAAAGAGATATATCCCGTGGATGGTTACAATCAGAAATTAAAAGGATTCAATAGTAAAGGCATCTGAAACTTCCCCAGAAAAATTCAAGTCATGCAGAGAGAGCAGCAGCAGCAAGATGTGAATTGCAGGATGTATATTTATATAAATGTCAACATGAGATCTACCCCCTCCTATCAATCTTCTCTAAAGTTTTATAATATAAGCATTATTGACTTAGAAAAGAAGAAGCTACGGTTTCTCCTCATTATATATCCCAATTATTACACAAGACGGACGCAGATCACAAAGAATACATGACTCACGAAGTAATTCTGACAATTGGTTTGTTTGTTACCAGATAATTATGATTCATCATTTCGAAAACAGTCACTTGTAAGTTTGTGAGCCACATAGATATTATTACTTCCATATACAAACCTGGCCAAGGTAAATCTACCGTGACTGTATCCCAACTCATAATTACATATCATTTTCTAGAGCAACATTCAAACAAAAAGCATCTAGAAGGAGTGGAACAACGATTGTTTCAATCTTCTCAACTCGAGGCAGGACAATTTACATATCAGTGATCATATCAATTCTCTCACTATCTAATCATGACTTCCTCTTTAGACGAAACCAAAACTTAAAATCAGACGATATTGACTGGAGCTCCTTCTGCAATTCAATCTCTGAAATGATCATAACTCTAGTCTAGTTTTCCGTGTTCGGCATTTAGAGTCTGCAAATACAATTTCTAATTATCGATTCACAACCACTTCGCCCATTTTCGACCATCTCCATATATCTACGACTTAGAGCTTTTCTTCCTGGTACGCCTTATTTCACATGTTGAGGAAGGTGCTGCGTAGTTTATTTGGAAAGTACTTTTACGCAGCAGTTTCCGATTTCAACAATTAGGAATTTTGATACTCCTTCACGTCATGTATCAATATATACTCACGATTTTCATTTTCCGTACTTCAAACTATCAACTTCTGGATGGACCCTCGTTACCTATGATATTAAAAGTTTCTTCCCTTTCCTTTCGATAGATTGCATATTCTTCTTCATCCTACCCAACCTAAGCATTATCATACTCCTCCTCCAATATTCCTACTATATCTATCTATACATCGCACCCCATCAACCAAACACCCGCATTCCACATTCTCTCATCACCATCCATCAAACAGACTATATATAAAATGAGAGCCGAAAACATCACCAAACACGAATTCGAAACGATCGTCGCAATCGAGCGATCATGCTCTGGCATATCCCTCCTAGGCTGTTTCTTCATAATCATCACGTTCCTCAGCACGACCGCCTTCCGCAAACCCATCAATCGACTCGTATTCTACGCATCTCTCGGTAACATATTTACCAACCTCGCTACGCTCATCTCTCGCTCTGCGCTCTCGAATCCTAACGGTCATTTATGTCAATTCCAAGCTTTTCTTCTGCAGATGCAAGTCAATATTCCCTATCAATGCACTTATAAATCGCTATATCATATCATATCTAACAGATCAAAGGTTCCTCCCAGCAGATGCCTATTGGACGTTGGCTATGGCCTGTAACGTCATGTTTGCATTTTTCTTCCACTACGACGTAGTTGAGCTACGCCAATTAGAAAAATGGTACATCATTATGTGCTACGGCGTCCCCTTCATCCCAGCTTTCGTATTCTGCTTCGTAACTACTCCTAAGAAAGGACATATATACGGCAGTGCCATCTCATGGTGCTGGGTCGATAGCAAATGGAGCGGATGGAGAATCTGGAGCTTCTATCTTCCCGTTTGGTATGTGCGCCTTGCCTTCCAATCATGATGCGTTTGGTTGATTATTGTTCTTGAAGGATCACAATCGCATTCACAATCATGATCTACACCATAGCCGGCAAGAAAATCTACGACAAGCGACAAGAGCTCATACGAGCCAACCAGCGCATTTCCCCTGTCGCTCCCCCCGCCCCCCCATCCCGCAAGGAAAAATCCTCTCAAGCAGAACTCCTTCCCATAACCAGCACTACAGACCCCAACACCCCCAATTCCCCCACCAGACCAGCACTTCCCCCCGCCGACCACTCATACACCAGCGCCCGACCCAACAAACAACCCAATGCAGCCCTCTGGGCCTACGCCAAAGTATCGCTGCTTTTTTTCTTGGCTATGATGATTACGTGGATACCGTCGACGGCTAATCGTATCTATTCGCTGTGTCATCCGGGAATGGTCAATATGACGCTGCAGTATATATCGGTGTTTGTATTGCCGCTGCAGGGCTTTTGGAATGCGGTGATTTATGTGCTGACGAGTATGGATGCGTGTAGGATTTTTTGGAGGTCGTTGAGGGAACCGGTGGTTTTGTTTGGGGGGAGGGGGTGATTTTCTTGTGGTAAGGGTGGAGTTGTGTTGGTGGTTTAGATGTAGAAAATTTAATCCACGAGTCGTTTTCTGTTGTCTGTATACTGATTCGATGATATCGCCATGAAGTCGCTGCTGATTTGATTTGATTCGTAGATTCAGATCTGGGGTTACTGTACCCAGTCTGGGGTTACCGAGTCGATGGTGATAACATCCCCTACATTAGTTTCCAAATTAAATAGTCAGTTAAGCGCGCCAACACAAAAGGGGGAAACCAACCCATGATGATGTCACCTAATGCTCATACTGTAATAACAAACTCCTCATATACACTTCCTTTCTACCACTTCATTCTCTCTCCACTCGCTACTAAACTGATATATAAATGTAAATTTAAATCTAAATCTAATATAACTATTAACCATCTACTCAAACAAATAACTAAAAACGAAAAACTAAATCAATACATAAAAATAAAACAAACAAACAAAGAGAAATACTATGTTATTCTTAAAAACCTAAACACTTATAGGAAGGAGTACTACTCAACAGATATATATATTCATAACACCCAAAAAGAATATTCTATGATATTCTATTCTATATAGAAGTACTCTAGAAGTACTATAGAAGTACTCGAGTAGGAGTATATAGTAGATAAAAAACTGTAATGAGTAATGAGTTATAGAATATACTAGTAGATGTAGTAATAGAGGATAGAGAATAGAGGATAGATAATACCTAGTAGCTCTCATCGTGGTACATATATATATATACATGCGCCAAGCGAAGCCAAGCCAAGCCAAGCCAAGACAATACAAGACATAACAAGATCTAATAATCAGAATAGTTTGCATACACGTAGTGCTATACACACAGTGCCATACCATCTATGTACACTAGATATATTATATATAACTGTATTGTATATAACTATATATAACCATAACCATAACCACAACCCATAATCATAACAGCGAAAAAAGAGAAAAAGGAAGAAGGAAGAGAAGAAGAGAGAGAGAGAGAGAGAG